CGACGTTGGTCAACTGACCTCTACGGTTTCTATAGACCTTCAAGAGGTCCATAACCCCATTCTAAATAAGAATTCGGAGGGCCGGCCTATATGGTTTACCCCTAAAAAGCCGAAGGATTTCCGTATTCAGGGGCAGGTTTTTCTAGCCGGCCAGAAACGGACTGCCAACGGCCGACTTTTCATACGCAAGGCCGCAAAAGCCTTCGATTACGTGGTTTTCCAACTAGCCAATACGGCGCATCAATTGGAGGCTGCAGAAAATAGCCTAGAACGCACAAGAGGCCGAAAGAGAAGGAAGGTCCAAGTCGACCCTAATACGCAGTTCGCTGGAATTGAGGAGGTTCGTGCCTCACAGAGAGAGGCTGGCAGAAAGGACCTTAGTTATTCTGAAAGAGAAGAATCAGGAGAATCCGATACTGAAGACTTCATCATTGTAGCTAATTAATTGACAAAGTTGTTGGCAATTGAAGTTTGTGGTGTTGTGCGGGGTCCGATTCAGGGGCTGTTCCATAGGCAGGGGTGTTCCAAAAGTCCCCCACCTGACTTACTCTATTAGTTGCCCAATTCCAAAAGTAGAATCTTCGCTCTATCAGTCTTGATATTCACAAAAACGTGCTACCTGGCTGGCACAGCAGGCAACAGTCACCGGCACCGCGGGTAAGAGCCAACGGCCGGACTGTTTTCCTTTCAACGTTTATATCTTTCTTCAGTCTTGACCATTCCCAAAATCCTCTCTATTAGTCTTGATTCACAAAAACGTACTACCCGGCTAGTATAGCTCACGGGCTGGCACCGTAGGCAAGAGTCGAGTTCCGTCCAACGGAGTCGGGCATTTTCTCCTTATATCATTCTTCAGTCTTGACCATACTACACTCTGCTAGTCTTGGCAATCTCAAGAGACCACCATTCTACTACATTCTTTCTTCCACCATTCACAAATATACTGCCGAGCTGGCACAGCAGGCAATAGCCACTACGCAGGCATGTTAGCCGGACTAATCGGAAGTTTAACAGAGTTGGGCTTTTGAAGAAAAACCATTTCTTACTCCACATTAGTTGACCAATTCCAAAAGTCGAGCACTCTACATCAGTCTCGATATTCACAAAAGTGTACCACCTGGCGGCACGGCGTGGGCAACAGCCACCGGCACCGCAGGCAAGAGCCAACGGCTGTCCGGCCTGTTGAAGCGTTCCGTTCATCGAGTCAGTCATTTTCCACCTTTGTATTTTCCCGAGAATCGTATTAACCGAGTCGGGCATTTTCCCCCCTTGTCTTGTTTCTTCATTAGTCTTGCCCCTTTACCAGAATCGAGCTATACCGCCTCTACATCAGTCTTGGCCATTCTAAAAGTCAAACCACCATCCTGCTACACTTTTCTCAATCTTTGACCATCACAGAAATCGGCACGGCGCAGGCAACAGCCACGGACACCGCGGGCAAGAACTAGCGCCGTCCGGACTGTTTTCCCTTCAACGGAGTCGGCATTTTCTCCCCTTTGTATTTTTTTCACCAGTCTTGACCATTCCCAGAATCAGCACCATTTTCTCCCACATCAGTCTTGGCTACCATTCTACTCACTCTACATCAGTCTTACCATTCTAAAATGGAGCCAGCACTTTGTTTACCTTTTCTACATTAGTCTTGGCCAATTCCCAAAGTGGAGCCACCAATCTCTCCTACATCAGTCTTCACCAGAATCAAGCTACCGTTCTGCTGCACTTTTTCTATATCCGTCTTGACTGATTCCAATAATGGAGCTACCATTCTACTCACTCTCTATCAGTCTTTACTATTCCAAAATAGAGCCACACTGTGAGTCCCAATCTCTCGTTCTTTCTCTATTACTTATAAAGCTTTATAGCTTAATTTTGGTCACAATATCAACCTCCACCACTCCCTTCGCAAGCCGGGGGCAAGATTATCTGCCTGCACGCCCATATTGTCGTCTGCCGTACGCCTAGCAGTCTATGACCAGCCCACTCTCGAGAGGTACGTTCTTTCTAACAGCATTCCAATTTAACGTCTTATTGCAGGCTACTTCCTAGCCGAAGCTTCGCTACAACGTTCCGGTAGCCGGGCAGTCTATGCCCGGCACTGCCGTCGATAGGTACGTTCTCACATTCCACTCTAACGTCTTGTTATATAACAGTCTTGTCACAACGGTCTTGTTACATAACAGTCTTGTTACGAGCTCCCCTTCCCAGCCTCAGCTTCGCCACAACGTTCCGGTAGCCAAGGCTGTCTCTGACCGGCGCTGCCGTCGACAGGTACGTTCCTTCTCACAACATTCTACTCTCACGTCTTGTCATAACAATCTGTTACATAACAGTCTTGTTACAAGCTCGCCTTCCCAGCCGAAGCTTCGCTACAACATTCCGGTTACCACAGCGTTCCGGTTGCCCCAGCTCGCCACCAACCCAGTCCCCTTCACGGTCACAACATCAACCTCCATCACTGTCTTCACAAGCCGGGGGCAAGATTGTCTACCTGGTCGCGGCTCGACGACGCGATGCAGCCGGCGGCGCAGCGGCAGTCGGCGAGCACGGGCGCGCTCGCGATGCTAAGCCACGTGGCGCTGTCGACGGCACCGTCCTCGGCGGCGATTTCTGACGGCGTGGGCGTGTCAGGCTGCTTGCGCGTGTCGGGCTGCTTGCCGCGGCGCCGCTCGCTCATGGGGGGTGGGCGAGCCAGGCGCTTGGGAAGAGCTCGCCACCACGGCTGCTTGTCCGCGGGCATGGGCTGCAACGAAGCACGGTTAGCGCTAAACAAGTCGACTGGGAACGGCACTGACTGGATGTGCCGGTTATTCTGGGAGCGGCACTGACTGGATGTGACTGGGAACGGCACTGACTGGATGTGTGGTTATTCTGGGAACGGCACTGACTGGATGTGACTGGGAACGGCACTAACTCTGGGATTGCCTTGGTTGCGGTTCTGACTGACGAGTGCTGAGATGCTGGTTGGGACAAGGCGGTGTGTTGTGGAGAACAAGCAGGACGGGCACGGCGTTCTGGGAACGGCGCTGAGATGCTGGTTGGACAAGGCGGTGTGTTGTGGAGAACAAGCAAGCAGGTACCTAAATATAAAGACGTGTGCAGGTTTGCTTCCGAGATGACAATGCTGGCGCTTTCAGGTCCACTCTTGCATGTGCCAGTCGCTGGCGATGACGCATAAGACGCCGATGCTGGCCTTGTTTGCTCGGATTCCACGTCTTGTGGCGGACGGTCCAGGCTCGGGCCGCACCGAGGATGTGTGGGTAGCAGTCCGTGGCAGCCAGTTCTGCGCTGGAGATGACGACGATGCCGATGGCGCTTCGCTCAGATTTCACGACCGTTTGCGTGTGCCAGTTCTACGCCGGAGATGACAACGACGCCGATGACGCTCGCTCGGATTCCGGTTTGCATGTGCTAGTTCTGCGCTGGAAATGACGACCCCGATAGCGCTCGCTCGGATTCCGGTTTACATGTGCGAGTTCTGCGCTGATGGCGCACGAGGCGATGCCGCTGGAGCTTGTCGGCTTGTCAGGTTCGGGCCGCACCGAGATGTGGTAGTAAGACGGTGTGTATGGTGCTGATTCTGGAAATGGTCAAGACTGATGAAGTAATAGAAAGAAGAGAGAATGCCCACTCGGTTGAACCTCCGAACAGTCCGGACGCCCGTTGGCTCTTGCTTGCTGTGCCAGCCCGGAACTGTGGAACAGATGCAGGCATTGTCAGTGAAGGTAGGCACGGTGGTCACTAGTAAGGCACTGAAGGGAGAACGACAGCTGGTGGCTGTTGGCTGCTGTGCCAGCCCGCCGGCACGTTTTTTGAACGGTCAAAGACGGAAAAGAGCAGAATGGTGCTATATTCTTGGAATTGGTGAAGACTGATGCAGAGTAGTGTATAGTGGCTCTTCTTTTGGAAATGGTCAAAAAAAATACAAAGGAGAGAAATGCCAAACTTGGAAGGGAAAACAGCGGGCTGACTCTTGCCTGCTATGCCCCGTGAACTGTGGGGCGGATGCTAGGCATTGCCAGTGAAGGCAGGCACAAGCAAGCAAGGTCGCTGAAGAGGGAGAACGACAGCGGTGGCACATTTTTGGAAATGGTTAAAGAAAAAAAGGAGCAGAATGGTGCTCCGTTCTAGCTGTTCAAGACTGATGCAGAGGCAGCAGAATGGAGCTCGATTCTGGTGGTCAAAGACTGATGCAGAGGCAGCAGAATGGAGCTCGATTCTGGTGGTTAAAGACTGATGAAGAGGCAGCAGAATAGAGCTCGATTCTGGCTGGTCAAGACTGATGCAGAGTACAGAACGGTGGCTACATTTTCGGAATCAGTCGAGACAGGATTTGCAACCTCTTTGCCACCTACCTCCAGCGTCTTCGCAACCTCGCAGCGTCTTCGCAGCCTACCTCCAGCGTCTTCGCGACCTCGCAGCGTCTTTGCGGCCTACCTCGCAGCCTCTTGGCACCATTTGCCACCACAATAGCAGTATGAAAACGGGCTTTCTGGAGTGCCAGGACAAGAGGAAGATGTACAGAACAATGCGTTACTCGAAGCCAGTTTCGGCGTACAGTCTGTTGCTTCTAGAACGGTACCCTGGTGCAATAGCTACAATGACGAGGGCAACGGTGGATTTGGTCAAGAAAGTAAAGACAGGAAGTAGAGTAGACTGGCTCCTTGTGAATGGCAAGACTGAAGATGAACAAAGGAGAATGACGGGGGAACGACTGGTATTGGTGACTTGAATATTAAATAATGGGAGAGTATGGGATGGGCTTCTTCCGCTCTCATGCCCCGTTCCCTTTACCGTTCCCTTTTCTATTCCCTTCACTATGCTCCGTTCCCTTTACCCTTCCCTGTTCCCTTCACTCGTTCCCGTTACCTTTCACTCGTTCTCGTCACCTTTTATCCCGTCGCCTTGTCAACCTCGGCAGAGACAGTCTCAATAGTGGCCTAGTAGCCACTCTCTGAACCCGTCGCCTTATCGACCTCGGCAGAGACAGTCTCAATGGTGGCCTAGTGGCCACTCTCTGAACCCGTCGCCTTGCCGACCTCGGTAGAGACAGTCTCAATGGCAGCCTGGTGGCTACTCTCTGAACCCGACTCATAGCCCGAATCGCTGCACTTGCCGCAACGGAATTCGGTCAAGACTGTGACGTTGTTGCGGTTAGGCGAGTGTGGGATTCGGCGGCTCTTTTTGCAACGCCAATAGTAAAAATCAATAAAGGTCGAGCATTCTATGCAGAAGGTGCGAGTGTATTGACACATGTTGTCGGTCTTTGGGATACACTTTTAGCTGTCGACGGCCAGGCAAGGTTAGCGCAAGCGGCCTGGGTTTGCGACTTATGATTAGATACGCACCTTGTGGTTGGGATCCTTGTGGTTGGGATATGCACTTATGCTGTCGAGCTGTCGACTTGAGTGGCAGGTTAGCGCGAGCGGCCTGATTCGCGACTTGTGATTGAATACGCACTTTGTAGTTGGGATCCTTGTGGTTGGGACACGCACTTGTGCTGTCGAGCTGTCGACTTGAGAGGCAAGGTTAGCGCGAGCGGCTTGGGTATTCGGATTCGCAAATGTGGTAAGATACGCACCTTGTGGTTGAATACAACCTTGTGGTTGGGATCTTTGTGGTTGGGACACGCACTTGTGCTGTCGAGCTGTCGACTTGAGAGGCAGGTTAGCGCGAGCGGCCTGATTCGCGACTTGTGATTGAATACGCACCTTGAGTTGGGATCCTTGTGGTTGGGACACGCACTTATGCTGTCGAGCTGTTGACTTGAGAGAAAATGTTAGTGCGACAAGGAACAGGGCGCCTGGGTTTATCACTTGTGGTTGAATACGCACCTTGTGGTTGGGATCTTTGTAGTTGGGACACACACTTATGCTGTCGAGCTATTGACTTGAGAGAAAAGGTTAGCGCGAACAGGAACAAGGGCGGCCTGAGTTTATTCAAATTCGCGACTTGTAGGAGAGATACGCACCTTGTGGCTGGAATACACTTTTATGCTGTCAAGTTGTTGACTTCAGAGGCAAGATTAGCGCGAGAACAAAGGGCAGCAGCGCGGCAACTGGGTTTATTCATATTCGCGACTTGTAGGAGGGATACGCACGCTTGTTGCTGGGTGTGCAGTTGGCGGGTGTGATGTTGTGTGCAGACGGTGCGTGTGATGTTGTGTGCAGACGGTGGGTGTGATGTTGTGTGCAGTTGACGTTGGGTTTAATTTTGTGTGCGGTTGACGCGTGTGATGTGCGTTTGCAGTGTCGCGTGTTATGCTGGGTGTGTAGTTGACGGATGCGTTATTGGGTCCTGAGGGCAGGTGTACGAGTCGGTCTTGAGGGCAGGTGTAAAGTTGCGTCTTGGATAACAGCGAGCGAGCAGTGGGGTGAGTGGTGGATGGGTGGCGAGACAGAGGTGAGGTAGGGTGAGGTGAGGCAGTGGTGGGTGGGTGGTGAGGTAGAGGTGAGGGTGGTGAGGCGAGCCACCGTCGGCCACAATCTAGGGACAGTGCTGACAGGCGAACTGCTTCCGGCGGAGGACTACAACAGGCTGACAGGCGGACTGCTTCCGGAGGACTACAACAGGCTGACAAGCGGACTGCTTCCGGAGGACTACGACAGGCTGCTGGGCTATTGCTGCCTTTCTGATGCACGTTGGTAGTCTGGAGCAAGTGCTGCATGTTGCTCGCTGGTCTTTCCTCGAGGTTGGGAACAAGCTTCGGGGATGGGAACAGGCTTCGGGGATGGGAATGCGTTATATGCTGGCCATTTGCTACGTCTTTCCTGATATGTCGAGGTGACTCGGTGGGACAAGCTCTGGTCTCCCAACTGTGGGGCCTGTTGCTCGCCGTCATACGTTAAGTGACGCGAACATGCTGACAAGTCTTGTTTTCTCCAACATGTTTTCTCCCAACATTCCACAACGTGCCATGTGCTGGGCATGTCGGCGTCTTTCCATCTTCCTCTTTGTGTAGATGGCAAGCTTGTTTTGGTGGCTGGCCCCTAATCTGGGCGCACCATTGTTCGGCGTCTTTCCATCTTCTCTTTGTGTTGCTTGTTTTCGTGGCTAGCCCCTCTGGGCGCACCATCGTTCGGCGTCTTTCCATCCTCTGCGTACACGTAGAGCACGCGTTACGTATGGCAAGTTTTCGTTGCTGACGCGTTGTCCTGTGCACGCTAGGGCTTTGTTCGGCGTCTTTGCACTGTTCTGGCGTCTTTCTTTGACTGTTCTGGCGTCTTGTAATCTGGACCCCACCTGATGTGGCACCCAAAGTGACCTTGCCCTGGGACAGCCAGCAGGGCTGAGACTCGCTCACCGCCTTTGGGTTTGGTGCCTCGGTGCTGCGGGAAGTGAATCTTGTGCCTGTCCAAAGCCGATATCAGCCAATGGCCGACTTTGACGCCATCGACATTGGTTGCGAGTTCTAGCCCCGAAGTCCTTTCCCAATTCTTTCTGCTCGGGACCTAACAATGTACTGGTCTGGCCGGCTTTGACGCCATCGACATTGCTTGCGAGTTCTAGCCCCGGAGCCCCTTTTCCATTGTGCCTCTTCTCAGGACCTAGCGATACACTGGCCAGACGGCCACCAGTACTGATTGTCTAGAGCAGAGCCCGACGCCCTCGACGGTTGAGAAACGAGCCGACGTTGGCAGATGCAACATCAGAATAAGAGGTCGTCTATGTCCCAGATATGAGATGGCCTGGTACACCGCAGGAATGGTTCAACGACTGCAGATTGAGGGCCGCGTCAAGTCTGTCAGCTCGAGTCCCGACGTGCTTGAAGATGAACAAGACAACAACTGGCAGGTGGAGCTTTAGGTGAAGATCAAGCGCAATACGTACTGGGACTCGGGGAAGATGCGTTCGAGTTCGAGCTCGCGCTGCCGGACCAGGACGACATGCAGAACCGGACTGGCGAGACCGAGGGTTCTGGTTCGTCAAGTGGTGGTGACTCAGTGGTGAACTCGGTACTTTAGACTCGTGGGAGCCAGGACGGCCACTGTTCGCGGTTGTGGTCAGCAGGAGTAAGGAGAGAGCAAGGAAAGAACGAGGCTTGTGACTCACATATGTGAAGTCGGGACCGTCGTGGAGCTCTGAAGAGCAAGTCCGTCTTGCCACCTCGAAGCAGCTTCCATCATCTCTGTGGGGTTATACTCTGTGTTAGCAGGAGCAAGAGACATAGAGAAAGAACGGGGGCTTGGGACACACATAGTGAACTCTATACTTTGGACTCGTGGGAACAGCAGCTCAACAGAACGGCCACTATGCGGTTGTGGGCATGCACTCTGTGTACTCTCTGGTCAGCAGGAGCAAGAGACAGAAAAGAACTTGGACTCACATATTGAACTCTATACGTTAGACTCGGGAGCAGCAGCTCAACAGACGGCCAATATTGCGGTTGTGGGCATGCACTTTGTGTACTCTCTGGTCAGCAGGAGCAAGAGACAGGGAGAAAGGAACAAAAGCTTGGGACTCACATATTGAACTCCGTACTTGAGACCGGGAGCAGCAGCTCAACAGACGGCCACTCTTGTTTCGCGGTTGTGGTCAGCAGGTGGGGAGAGAAAGGAACGGAGGCCTGGAACTCACATATAGTGAACTCCGTACTTTAGACTCGTAGGACCAGTTGCTCAACAGGACGGTAGCTCAACAGGATGGCCACTGTTGCGGTTGTGGGATGCTACTGGTCAGCAGGCGTAAAGGAAAAAGGGGAGAGAGAGAGAGAGGAATGGGGGCTTGCAGCTATTTAACCATCGAAATTCAGCCATTGAGTCACTAGTAAGCGTTCATTGATTAGCTATTGAGTCACTGATAAGCGTTTGTTGAGTCACCGATAAACGCTTGCAGATGTTTGTTATTATGGTTCGTTTATATTACTAGTCGAACGAGTTCCTTTTAGCTCGTATGATAATAAGAGATAGTCGCCACGTAGATAAGCCGCAGCAACTGCTCGCGACCAGCCACCAGTCTAACAACCGCCCGCGCCCAGCCACCACGATACCACGCCCACGACAACAGCCGCCGCAACACCACGCCAACTACCACGATACCACGCCCACAGCAGCCTTGCGCACCGGTCGTGGCTGCCCCTCACGTCTAGCACGTGCGCCGCGCACGAAAAGACTTGGGAAATGGCCGACTTGGCCACGGCGGCAACACGGCAAGACGGGATGGGTAAGACGGGATGGGCAAGACAGGAATGACCGACTTAGCCACGGCGGCAAGACGGCAAGACGGGATAGGCAAGACGGGATGGGCAAGACTCGCGGCAAGACTCGCGGCAACACGGCGTGGTGTGACGAACCTAGTTCGTCCTAGACCGGCTACGGAAGGCAGGCGCCTCAGGCAAGACTGGGGGCCCCGCTTGTCGAGGGCCAATCAGACGGTGCCCGGTGCCAAGAGGGCTCTTGGCACCAGGCAAACGGAAGGACGGCCAATCAGGGGTGGCCCGGTGCCAAGAGGGGTCTTGGCACTAGGCAGATGGCCCGGCACGTTAGGATTAAAGGTTATGGTCCGCCCTTGGTTCCGACGCCTGGTGCCGAGCTGCTGTTCGTTCTGCTGCTTAATCTCGTCAAGCACTTCCTACGGCAGGTGGTTGATGTACTCCTCGACTACTTCGATCGAATTAGTACCAAGGGTGTTTGGGTAAACGGCAATATAGTTCAAAATCTGAGCGCAAGAAGGTGCTCTCGGGGCTGTCGATCTCGGGGCTGTCAATCCATTCACAACCAGTTGAGGTCAATATTGACAAAACGACAGGCCGACTACTGGCCTTAACGCAGGGACGTGATAGCCTGCAGGTACAGTGATGACAGAGAGGTCTGCAGTGATCTGCGGTAGCTCGAACTGGTGGTTCGTGCTTTTGCGGGGTCGTGCGCAGAGTCCCAAGAATCTTGCACAAATGTGGGCAGAATTGGGGTCTTAGGGTGGCACTCGCACGCAACTGGGGCAAAATAGCGCAGAGGGTGAAAACACGGTTCCAACTGTCGCGCCGTTAATCAGGTGGTCGAAAACAACATCAAACCAATTGACGTTCATCACACAATTGTTTTGTTGATGAAATTGATAGCCAGACGGTGGACTTGATAGAAAGTGAGAAAAGACAGTAGACTTGATAGAAAGTGGGAAAAGACGGTGGACTTTGATGGAAAGTGGGAAAAGAAGTCACGGTGTCCGTTTAGCCGGATGCTTTGAACCGAGTACCGGATTTGCCTGCGCTTGCGGGAGGTTTTTCGAAATTCGAGTCTGGGCTAGGGGTAAAAACCCAGCGCCGAATCGAGATTGAGATTAATTGAATGGTATTAGGTCGCTCCGATCGGAAAGATCGCTGCTACCATTGTTGACAGAGAAACTGGGGCTTCAACACATCCATAATCAAAGAAACTATAGGCTTTGGGGAAACACATCTAAATGGCCAGAGACACCCGGCTTCAGGTGGCCAAATCTACCATAGCTAGAGAAACTAGAGGGTCCAGGCACATGCACCGTGATCAAAGAACTGGGCCGGCTTTAGGAGACAAATCTATTATAATTAAAGAACTAGGCCTGTCACGGCGGGTGCCGTGGTGGTGTCAATGACGTAGTGCTGGAGTGTGGTCTGTGCGTACCTATCACGTGGTCCGCACTATACCTAGAACCCCGCGCCTTGCCCGCTCCCCGCAACATCTTCCTTTTCCTTCTTTAGCTTTAGATTCCACAATACAGGTTACGGTTATACTGCGTGTTATGCCAGTCGAATCCTCTCCTTCGTGACAAGGCCCGGCTTCAAGGCATCCACCACGGCCAGATGAACTGAGGCTTTAGGTAATACATGTCCTATGAGAAACGGCCCGGCTTCGGGTACACCAGACTCAAGAAACTGCAGGCTTCAGGTATGCACCACGACTAAGAAACTGCAGGCTTCAACTGACACGTCTCCCATGAGAAACGGCCTGGCCTCAGGTATATCAGACCCAAGAAACTACAGGCTGCAGGTATCCACCACGACCAAGAAAATAGCCCGTCAGGTAAACACGTCTGCCTCGCTGCAGACTAGCAAAGACCTCTGCATTCTCGCTGCAGACTGGCCACCTCTTCTCTGCATTCTCGCTGCAGACTGGTCAGTGGAGCTCTTCTAGTCGTGATGAAAGGAGAGCTTCTTACCGCCCCGTAGCCGTAAGCAGGCCTCTGTTCGACGTGGCAGCCATCCTTACCGCAGAACCGCTGTTTGTCGCGTTAGTCCCATTCGTGCTGCTGCTAACGGTAGGGAGCATGTCGTTTACCTTATTATAGAGTGGGATTCTCTAGTGAATTCCGTCAAGTCTAATCCTTCTCTCGTCACATTCCGTCAAGTCCAATCACTCTAGTGATATTCCGTCAAGTCCAATTCTTGTAGTGATATTCCGTCAAGTCCAATCCTTGTCTAGTGATATTCCGTCAAGCTCTGACAGGGCAGAGCAATCAAATCTGGTCTGCCTACTCATGTCCGCCCGCCAAGTGTCCGGCTGCGCTCTTGCCCGCTGAGGCTCGGAGCTGCGCACGCCACATGTCACGCAGCGCCACGGGCATCTAGTCTATCTCGGCCCACCAGCAGGTGTGCGCAGGTCTCATAGCCTGGCTGTCCGTGTCTAGAGTTGTTGCTGTTAGCTTCGCAGCCTGACTCCGCGTGCTACAACTAGGGGCCTGATATCTTACCGTCTCTGCCCGTCTGCGGCGCGGCCACGCTTCCCACGAGGGTGGCCGGCCGGCCCATCAGCGCCCTGTAGCGGCGCCGAACGGCGCAGTACTGGAGCTGAAGCGACAACAGCCGCCTGCCGTTCCAGTGGTAGGGGGCATTAACACGGGACCGCAACAGCTTCGCCCTAATCTGGCGGTGCACTAGCACCTCTCGCTCCTGCTGCCGCGCCACCCACAGCTGCTCCTCGAGCAGTGCACACTGCGTGGCCGTCGTGGGCGTGTGCTCTTGCTGCCGAAGGTGTAGCAACGCCCCGAGCGTTGCCCGCTTGTGCTCGCTGAGGTCTCTCGCCAACTGCTTGAGGGCTGCTAGATACGCGTGGCCGGCGTCGAGCTGCTGCTTCCAAGCAGCTATCTGCGTCTCGGTAAAGGCCATGCTAGCTTGCAGCTGGGCCAGTATGGCCTGCTCTTCGGCGGCCCAGTACTGGGCGGCGCCTTAGGCGAGCGCGGCCGCCAAGCTGACCGAGATGGACGTGCCGGCTTCGTCGTCTAGAATGGGGAATACTGTATCAGCGAGAGGACGAATACTGTCAGGGCCAGATGTGGTGACGTGGGGTTAATATGGTATGTTTGTGGGACTTACCGCTGGGCAAGCTAGGAATGTAGGCCATGGCAATGGAATAGCTATGGGGGGTGGCGGGCACAGCGCCCAATGCGACATGGTGCTCCTGATGGTGCTCCACTTCTGAAGCGACACGATCCTGCTCTGCTTCGGAAGCGACACGATGTTGCTGGAGAGACTCCATTCTGATGTCTGATGTGACGTTGAGACGTAGCTGTCAAGGTGAAAGAAAGGGTGGCGTTGTTATGATTGTAACAGAAAGTGGTAACGTTGTTACTACTGTGACAGAAAGTGGTAACGTTCTTCTTATTGTAACAGAAAGTGGTAACGTTCCTCTTATTGTAGACATAAAGTGAGTAACGTTGTCGACGTTGTTCTGGTACAAGTGGGTGACGTTGTCGAGTTTGTTCTGGTACAAGTGGGTGATGTGCGGATTGACGACGAGGGTTCTCGGGGTGAAAGAAAGTGGGCGTTGTCAGGCCGGCAGCCGGCAAAGCACGATTGTCTTGGGGTGTCGCGGATGGTGGCGGCGGCAGCACTGATGGCTCTGGGCTGAGCATTGGAGGATTATCCCTGACCTGACATTATCTAGTTTGAGTAGGAAGCAAATTAGCAAAATACACAGGTAGAAGGGCAGGTTGAGAAGGCAGGGAGTGCAGCAGACACAGAGTGACAGCAGACACAGAGTGAGCAGCAGCGGTCGTCAATCCCCACGATGCAGGAGTGAACAGCAGACACGGGAAAACAGCAGACACGGAGTGCAGCAGACACGAGGAGAACGCAGCGGTCGTTAGTCCGCCACGACGACTCGGGATATTAGTAGGGGAACCAAGATTACGTGCCTTTGACATGCAATAGGAGCAGCAGCCTGAGATGCAGGAGAACCGCAGTGGTTGTTTCTAGTGTTCAAATCGTGCCGAGAGGTTATTCGTCAGGTTAGCAGGCATGAGAGGTTTAGATGCTCTGTGCGAGCATGTTTGGGAAAGGTTCTGCAGGTTCTGCGTGTTCTGTCGAGGGATATTCGGGACAGATTCTGCGTGTTCTGTCGAGGGATGCTCAGGACAGATTCTGCGTGTTCTGTGTGAGGATGTTTGAGCAAGGTTCTGCGTGTTCTGTTGAGGGATTTTCATGAAAGGTTCTGGATATTTGAGGAGATGTTAGGACACGGTTCTGTAGTTCTGTGCGAAGATGTTAAGAAGTCGCTAGCTAGGAAACAAGAAACCTGCCAGAAACCCGCCAGGAACAAGAAAGTCGCGAGCCAAAGACAAAGCCGGCCAAGGAACAAGAACGCCGCTAGAAACCCGCAGAAACCCAGCCAGGGATATTGCAAACACCACCCCGATTGGGGTGTCCCGATTGGGGAGGCGCGACCGAGCTGTCCCGGGCGGGGTAACGTCGCGCACCTGCTTGCGGCGCTGCGGCGAGAACATGGTTGCGGCGCTGCTGATTGGGTGCCAGGACATTGGCACAGATGGGTGCAGAGAACATTGGCACAGATGGGTGCAGAGGATATCGGCACAGATAGGTGTAGCCAGGACATGCGGCAGACATGGTTGCGGCCAGGACATCGGCAGACATGGTTGCGGCTAGGACTGCGGCCAGGACATGTTCGCCGTGTCGTAATAAGGCGGCAACACGGGTACCACGGTAGACGCATGAATTTGACATGGCATCGCCATACACCAAGGTCAGACTGCGGATGTGGAAATGCTACGTCAGACCGCGGATCATCTGGTGTTGGAATTTGTCAAGCAGAAGGGCCTCGAAGGTTCTAGATAGAGACTTCGCCACCCACTTCGCCACCACAATAGTGGTATACACCTCCGCCGGGGTTTGTTTTGTTAGCTCCAGTGACTTACAGGGGTGATTACAGTGTTTTAGTCATCTGGGCTAGCCGCATACGGAAAATAGAAACCAAGTCATTCTTCTAGCAATTTCTGTGGCAAAATACCTGCGAGTTAAATTTCGCATGCTGAACACCCCGCAGTGCAGCCAGTCGCCCACAGCCAAAAATGCCCTTTGCAATTGCAGACCTCCTGAATCCACTGCCAGAGCCACTACAAGAGCCACCACCAGAGCAATTGCCAGAACCCTCAACCCCTAAACGCCGGCATAAAAACAAAGACCTCACACGCGAAGAAAAGGCCGAAATTCGAGGCCTACGGAAGTACGCTGGTTGGACTTACGAGAAGATTGCAGAAAATACCCCCTTCTCAAACCGGCAAATCCAATCTGCCTGTAAGGAGGGCCCGTTGACACCACAGAAAAGCAAAAGTCGACGAGGAAAGATTCGAACCCCTCAGAAACAACGTTTAAAAGAATGGTTTTTAAAAGATAAACGCCGTCAATATCTTCCCCTTTATCAGCTTCAATACTACGTTCCTTTAGAGTTAGCAGAATACGGTGAAACTGCCCTTGTTCGAGCAGTCCACGATTTAGAAGGAGAATCTCGGATTCGACCAAGAAGAGTTTTCCTTACTACTGCCCATAAACAGCAGAGGCTTCGTTGGTGCCAGGAACAGCTTCGTCTCCGTCCAAATCCAGAAGATTGGGATGATTTTATTTGGTCTGATGAAACTTGGGCAATAAATGACCCAATGTGGAAAAAGCACGTTATCCTTTTCCGGGGGCAAGATCTTGCCGATTTTGCTCTTCAACGGCGGAAACCAAAAGGTTGGATGTTTTGGGGATGTTTTGCAGGTGGAATAAAAGGGCCAGGGTTTGTTTGGGAGAAGGAGTATGGAGGAATCGGCGCTAATAATTATATCGAGCATATTATTCCGCTTATTATCCGCTTCTATCGCCAGATTCAAGCCTCGGTTTTCCAACAAGATAACGCTTCAGCACATCGGGCACGGCGGACCAAAGCAGCACTCAACCTGCAAGGAGTTAATGTGGTTCGCTGGCCTCCTTATTCTCCAGACCTCTCGCCTATTGAGAATGTCTGGCCGTGGATCAAAAACTGGATTGAATGTAATTGCGAGGATATTCAGGAGCTAGATTTACCAGACCTTCGCAGGCTTCTAGAGGCGGCGTGGGAGGCTGTGCCAGAAGATCTTCTTCTACGGCTGGCACACTCGATGCCACGCAGGCTGCAGATGTGCATAGATGCTGAGGGTGGTACAATAAAATACTGAATTTTGGCTCTATACCAGGCTACTTTTATGTAGCAAGGGGCCCTTGTTAGAATGTGGGGCATGTACCGAGCTAACAAAACAAACCCCGGCGGAGGTGTAGGAAGGGGCTTTCTGGCACTGCCAGAAAGCTAGAGAGAAGGGCAACACATCTACAATCCATCACTTGAATCACCAGCTTTCGGCGTACAGCTACGCCCTGTTGATTCCAGTACCGGTACCCTGGTGAATCCAACATCTGGAAATATACGCTAAACTACGGATCATGTGGAAATGTACGCCAGCCGAGCACCCGTCTGAATTTCTGTCGTGCTGGCAACTCGGGCGTACAGCCATATCACGTCAATGTAAGGGTTCCGCGAATGGGAGGTTGGATTAGAAATGTAGCTACTGATAGCTCAATCTATATATCGTGCAAGCGCCCTAGTCACTGGACCTGAACTGACAAGCAAATCCCACGCTTGACTTATCTCAGTAACTCAGACCTCCTCTCCAGGCGTAGGGGTAGGTGGCTTCGCCACCAAGTGTAAAATAAGTAAATGAATGGCTTACCAAGTGGGCCCACTTGCCGGGTCAGACAAACTGCCACCTATTTTATCTGTAAATTTGTCCCGCTAGCCCATTAGAGTATTTAGCATCCTAGACCCACTTTTTTGCGCAAAACGCGAAGGTCTGAGGGCAAAATTAGATTTTTGGCTCAACGCTTTACGCGCCACCATACAAATCGCGATTTGAAGAAAATTAAAACACAAATAGCCTCATCAACACAACCACCAGCAAGAAGCCGAGATATTTCTGAGGATACTGAAAGCAAGGAGATCATTTTTGGATTTTCTTAAATGTATTTGTATACAAATTAAAGAATTTGGCACAACTAGACCTTCAAAAGTTATCGCTATACGCGTTTCGTCTGATCTAATAACCCCCCGCCAAAAATGCAGCCAAAATAGTTGTAGCTGTGAAAATTTAATGCCAAAAATCCTTTTCTTTCTGAGAACCTCGTTGTGTAATTTTTAACCGCTTAATTAATCTACTGCTCTCACAGCAGCCTCAAACGGTCCAAAATGACCTCTCCAAGCGACGTGGAGCTCGTTAAAGCAACCATATGCTCCATTACTGGCCACGAAATCGCTTGCAAAGGTCAGGTTCAAGCCGTGGCTCGCGTAGTATTCGAAAAAGCCGACACCGTGCTCGTCGCCGCCACCGGGTACGGCAAAAGCGCAGTTTTATACGCCTGTTCGTCGCCGCTGAAAAAGATCACGGTATAGATTGTGCCGTTGACAAAACTAGGCGAGAATCAACGGAATAGGGAGACTGTTGGTACGAGATTCTCTTGACAGCAGGCATTGGAGGGACCTCGTTGTCAGACTTGAAGATGTTTGAAAAGGAGTACTTTGTAAGAGAAGGCAGGTACGCCTGATCAAGGTGGTCACAATAGGAGCAACAAGCAGGGCGAGCAATGACTGGTATTGGCGTAAGACTTCAACCTGGCCTGAGCTAAAGAGGTGTGCGAAGGCCATGGTCTATATACACGTGAAAGGGGTTACGAGTCATCCTTGCGTAGCCAGGGTGGTAGTGGCGATAGTGCGTGGCCCTGTTAGCGGTGGCGATAGTGGCGATGGTGGCGAGGGTGGCCCTGGTGGCGGTGGCCATGGTGGTTACGAGGGTGGTTTCCTTACATACTTCATGAGCCACCGTAAGGCGTTGGTAACGGTCTGACGCCTCGAGAGGATATATTCAACAACCATTTGGCGAGTAAAAGCACTAAAACAGTCAATGGTTGACTACATGTAAGGACCGTTGAATTCCGGGCATGCAACATGGAGGAAAGTCGTGAGGTTGATAAATTAGTCCTGTTTTCCACCAGCAAGCTCACGAATTCGGTTCTTGAAGCTGAAGTTATCGTATACAACCGCGCCGTCAGGATTGTGAGCGATGTCACGGCCGGCTTGGAATGAGGGCGGAACTCCTCTATTGGGCGCTATAGACGAAGATTCTAAACTAAAGGGAAAAGGGAAAAGAAGCTCAAAAGCCTCCCGTCGCGAGATTCTTCCAGGGCGTCTCAAGGTGGGGCTCTGGCTGGTTGGGTGGATTCACCCAACTGGCGTCTGATTAGTCAGAGCGTCTGGGAGGCCTGGAGGACCAGGCCCTCACAAGCGACTCTCTTAATCGTAGTCACTACTGCTGTCGCCATTCTGTTCAACATTCTTTTTAAGAGTCCAGTATGAAGAAACAATGCCGAGGTGGTTGAGGGTCTCGATTATACGGCGGGCGGTGCCATTTACAAGGAGGTATAGCCTTAGAAGGTCTCGTAAATAGCTGGCTTTGTTGCGAGCAACGCCGCCGAGTAAGAGGGACACAACAAGGTAGACTTGGCTCTTTAAGTCATTGTCAGCCTGTATGCTAGGGATCCCCTTGTCTGGAATCCAGTAGCCCTGTAGAAGCTGCGACAGAAGCTTCACAGTACTAGGCGTCAAAGTCTTCAACCGAGGCCAAGCATTATGAAGATACTCACCAATCTAGCTAGTATTACAGAGATTGGCGACCAGCGTTGGATTGTTCTTTTGCTAATCGAAGGGCTTGAACTCGCTGAACGAAGGAGTTTCCTATAAGGACTTCAACTCCTTGCAAATATTGGTGGCGATCTGAGTCGTATTACCCTCGCCACCAACCTCCCGAACAACAAGATCTCTCTGAGTGAGGGAATTCTGTAACTCGGGTTGCAACAAGACGCGGCGCAGGTAGCTGGCCTGGCGCGTATTACTGACCCAGGTCACCAGGAAAGACTCAAAGTTGAAGGTGTTTGTGCCCTCCTCTTCATGACGTCGGTTCCGGACATCTAAGCGCCGGTAGAGCTTGAGTGTCTCGGAAACGATGTCACTAGTATCATCTTCTTATTGATCGAGGTATTGTTGCTCAGGCTCTTCTTGGTATTGCTGTGCCTCTCGGTGGCTTGAGGAAGGGCCCACAGACAGGCGAGAAGAATGCGTATGACTTCGCCAGTTGCCCTGAAGGTTTCTCTGAGAGCGAGAAAGAGGTGTAGGACGTGTAGGAGGGTCGGAAAGGCCTGACAAAGAAGCTCGAATAGGGAGGGAGAGAATTCGTGATGGTCTGGCGTTTCTGCGCCACGCAGGCATATTCGAAGGAAGCTGCGGGACTTGGTTGCCCTCGAAATCGTCCATCTTCTATCGCCAAAATTGGTACCATTTAAGAGCGCGCTCTCAAGAGATCAGATTAAAATATACAAGGTATTTTTGGGCGTTGTTTTGGAGATGTTATTCGCATTCGCGCAATTGTCGACCGTTGTAAAGCAGAGGGCAAAAAATTAAGAATTGCTCTCAGACCAGTGTTGGCCCTGATCTCCTATTCGAACATCCTATTGGTTGGAACTATTTTAAAAGCGGGTCCATTCAACTATTCCTAATTAGGGCCCCCCTCTCGCTAACACTGGTATGAGTTTACTGAGATAACGCTTGACTAACTGACAAGCAAATCCCGCTTGACTAACTGATAAGCAAATCCCACGCTCAACCAAACCGGTGCTACAAAACCTGTTCTTCTCTTAGAACAAAGAGGTTGAAACGACGTTTCGGTGTTGTGTTGGCTCCGACGGACCGGGATTGACAAGATGCCAGTCCCATATAAGTAACAAAAAGTTTAGAAAGAGAATAATACCACCATGCAAGCAACAAAAAGTCTGGAAAGAGAATAATGCATAATAGTTGGGTATCGCCGCATATGACAGACAGGAGAAACGCGTTGCACCGAGATATGTTAGCTACCTAACTGGCTACCCGAGTATGATGCTCACCAGAATCTCACATGCAGAGTGACGCCCACCTCTCAAATGCAGAGTGTCTCCCATGCAGAGTGTCTCCCACATGATAACTCCCTCGACAAGTCAACCCACGTCAGTACAGATCTGCTCCAGATCGGTTGCCAGCTCAGAAATCCCAAGCTAGTTGTCTTCTTGCTCGACGTCTGCCTCACCCTCGCCGTCCTCGGCCCAACTGCTCGACTCGAAACCGTGCTCCTAGTATTGAAGGTAGTCGGTAAACTCGGGCCCAGTCGCCGCGATACCGCTCGACTCGAAACCGTGCTGCTGGTAGTGGACGGGGTCGTCACGTAAATCCTCTATCTCTCCGAGAGCAGCGTCATTCTCCAAGTCGTTGAGGCACAGAAACATCTCCTCAGTAAAGGCACCCGACTTGTGAGACCGCACCTTGAGCTGGCGGACAACGTCGCCGCTCAACTCCGTGTACGTATGAATGGCATCGTTGACCGCCTCGTAGTGATTGATACCGCAGAGGGCGTGCGTGTCCGTGTGCGGGAGCGATCCCGGCAGCTTAAAGTGCATGACGGCAATGTCCCGCACCTGCGCTGCCAATTTGGTCACGCTTCCCCTGTACACGGCCGGATCCACAAAAGGAATCATGCCCGTACGCTTGAGCTTGCGGGCGAGCGATCCGAACTGCAGCATGATGCACTGGCTCTTGACGGCGACTCCCCCCTTGGGGTCAGATCTTCTCGCGAACAGGACAGCCGGTTCGGTGCCAAGAGAGTACAGCCAACCCCTGTAGCCTAGCGTTGTGGCTAAGAAGTACTGCATGAAGGCCTGGTCAGTTGAACTATCCACGAATAGTATAGTTGCCAAGGAGTCTCACCGCCTTCATCGGCTACCGATGTGACGATTGCAAAGAGAGCTTTGTTGACGCCCCTGTTGCTTCGAGTCTGAATCCAGTGCAGAACCTTGATATTTCCCAGCCGAATCGATAGATATGGCACCCCAGCGCGACAGTACGAGCCGGTCGTCGTCAATTGAGCCCTCTGCCGAACGCTTCCTCAACGACACTCCGAGCCCAGCCCACTCGTTCGCGAACGAGCCGGACAGCGAATCCGACACCGTTTTGAGCCAGGCCAGCGATACTGACGATGCTGACGAACGATCTCAATCTCAGGTATCGCTGGGAACGCCTTGCCCATCAACGCCGGCGCCTCGTGGAGATACACCTTTGTCACGGACGCTTGCGCGTAGTCTGGCCAGTAGTCGATTGTCGGAGGTAGGGGGAGGAGGACCATCAACAACGGCCGGTCGCCGGAAGCGAGCGCCCACGAGGACTACGCCTCCGAGAGCGACTGAAGCAAAGAGGAGGAAGAATAACAACCCTGAGCCACGGTCAGGCCGCCGCAAGCGTAAGCCAGCGACTTTGTGGAGCGACGAGGAGAGCGCGCAATTGATGCTCTGGTTCCTTGACTGTACTCGGCTTCGGTACTTCGCGGCGGAAAGATCGTATCGACAGGCCTGGGATCATGTGTTAGAACAGTCAAGCCAGCTCTGGCCGCAAAAGCTGTTGACGAAGGATACTATATCTACCAAATACTTCTACGAAAAGAAGAGGTGGCGTGCGCTGAACGAGCTCATGACGTCGGGTACGTCGTTTACGCCTGACGGTTTGCCTGACGTATCTGATGAAGTCTGGGAGCGGTATTGGGCCCGTAACGGTCGTCGGAATCGCTGGCTCGCAACCAAGCCCATTGGCGATTATGACGTGTATGCGGAGGTCTTCAAGGACGATCGTAGTACTGGGGAATGGATCCGCGAACCTGCAGATATTATTAGGGCACGCAATGAACAACAGGAGGAGGAGACCAACCAAAGCGGAGATGCGGAGGACGAGGAAGAGGTTGATGAACAAGGCTCACCGGCGCCGGCAAGCCAACCCAGACCAGCTCGATTAACCAGTACGCAACAACGCCGTCTTGATACCGATCCTGACCTCCATCACGCTCGGCCAGTTAATACTATACAGCCAGAGGCCGCGATAGTCGTTCCGCGCCAGGCGCAACGAGGCAGGGAGAAACAGACCGAGGCCACAAGACTTGCGGATGGTATGATAGAAGCCGCGGCAATCGTTGCTGCGCCGAAACCAGTTGGCGCCGAGGACGTTGCAATGGCGATGGAGGATATTGAGAGGCGTTATAAGAGTTCTTTAACCCTTGACAATCTATTCAATTGCTCAGAATACCTTTGTAGATGGCCGGTCAAAGCGACAATTTATTTGAGGGCAGGGCCTGAACTCAAGGCACGGTATTTGAAGGAATGGAAAAAAGGTCCGGAGTAATATTACATGATTTCCACCTGATAGTAATTGCGTTGGATTTCTTGATTTTTATTGCGTTTCTGGCCTTTGGCCACTTTAATCGCGTTGGTTACATTGGTCTTGCTGGATTTTGACAATTCTACCGTATTTTACCGCCTTTTTTCCTACCCCTCACACCCCGAACTTCACACTAGACGTGGCGACCCAACAAAGAAATCGCCCCACAACGAAATTGGCCCACGCCATGCCCACACCCACTCCACGGGCGCAAATTATCCATTTCTACACAAAATAACTAGCAAAAAAATACTCAATCCTCTTCTTCGGCCTGTCTATATTGTTCGAGCCCACGGGCGATTATTTCCCGGGCTTCTTCGACTGCATGTGGCTGGCTTTCTGCCCGGGCCGTTTTTTTCCGCTTTGGGGGTATTTGACTAGCTTTTTGTGCCTTGGCGATGTCCTCTATACGTGCAAATCGCTCATTTCCATCTTCATATACCCTCTTAAGCGTGCGAGGCTTTGAAGCCTCTAATTCGGTTGTGAGATGCGTAATTTGTGCCTTCAAAGACGCGATCTCTGTATTCTTCAGATCCAGGGACCTCCCGACCTTAGTAAACAAGGCCCGCACACGCCGCTGAGCCGGACTGAGGGCATTCCGAATACTGTCCTGGTACTTCTTGATGTCCTGACTGCCGTGCGGTGTTTTGAAGAGCCTGTCATCGTCGTTCGGGGCCGTCGGCGGCGGTGTTGAAGGCCGGGCCGGGAGTGCCTCATTGTCCTTGACCGCCTCAGGGTCATCAAGTAAACAAGCCGGGTTGAAGGGCCAAATCCCGGTTTTACTGAAGCCCGACATGATGTTACGGGCACTCATGCCTTTACCCGAGGCATCTCTGTAGCAGTAAAGGAACCGAACCTTGTTGACAGGAGCTGACGATGTGAAGCTCGCGAGGGCCTTGGTATTTTCCCTAAAATAGGTCTTTAAAGGTGAAAAGACCGAGCGATCGAGAGGCCGAGACTTGTGCGATGTATGAGAAGGTAAATAGACGAACTGGACCTTATTTTGGAAGGCCGCTAACATGAATTTTTCGTTCATATGGCTCGAATGTTCGTCAAGGATCAGTATACGCCATTCGCCCGGCCTTTGGGGCTTTGTTTGGATCAGGTAGACCTCTTTGAGCCATTTCAGCGCAATACTGGCGTTGCTCCAGCCTGTAATTGAGTAATCGTACTTCCATTCCCGGAATTCCTTCGTCAGGTTGAAGTTATCAGGAAAGTGTTGTCCTTGAAGACTGGCCCCGGTAAATATGATCACGGGCTTCAAACGAACGCCCTCAGCAGTGCCGCATTCGATAACTGAAACCCAGGTTGTTGCATCAGAGCTTTTCACGTAGGTTCGGTTCGTCAGGGAGCTTCCTATGACCTTTCCGGCCCGGGTCTCGAGCTCCTGCATGCCGTGCTCATCCATGTTAGCGATGTTGGCCGGGATGACCTTTTTATCCTTGATTTGGAAGGCCAGGCGCTTGAAGAAAGCTTCATAAGCTTCACGAGTAGATCCGCAGACTTGAGAGGATTCCAACAAGGTTGAATTCTTCATCTTTACCGCCGGGTTGCGGCGTAGGAAGCGGTCCACATATCGCTCCCCAATGGTCTTTTTCGTGCCGGCCTCATTGAGTATAGCTTGAGCGAATCTCTGCACCTGACGACGGCTAGGAGCCCTGCCTGCAGCCTCCTCATTGAGGCACCAGTCGGCTAGGAAGCTTTCCTGCGCATTGGAGAGGTTTCTTTCGGCTTGTTTACTTTGTGCTCGATTTTCTGCCCCGTGGATGCGTTTGCAGAGGGTAGAAGGAGGGATCCCGAAGTCATGCGCGGCCTGCTTCTGCGATGCGCCTTGTTCAACTGCAAGTATTGCAGATTGAATTAGCTGCTCTCGACGGTTCGACATGATGTATTTTGAAGCTATTCGAGCCTGAATTGATGAAGTTGTGTTGTGTTGAAGTTGAAGGGCGGGAAATTAGATGACAGGGGCAGAGATTTCGTTGTGGGGCGATTTCTTTGTTGGGTCGCCACGTCTAACCTGACCACTATTATCAACATCTTCTACCATCTTTGCCTATATCTACAGTATTGTTGCCACAACGTACTTGCGCAACGCCAGCGAATATCCCAAGAGCTTCCTACTACTTGTTGTTGCGCCCTCTCAGCTGCGCGAGCGATTCTTTCGCGTTGTCGTAGCTCTAGAACGTCCTCTCCACCTTGCGCGAGAATGAAGTTATGGAGCCCAGTAACAGCGTATACGATTTGTACCTGCTTCTCGATACTGTACTCTGCTGGTATCTCTCGGATTATTTTAAATCTCCTCTTCAGAATGCCAAAAACTCTCTCGACGACAGTCCGGATGCGTGAGTGCCTGAGATTATACAGCTCTTTCTTTGTCTCTGGCGGGCGCTGACCATTCCTCCAGTCCTGTAGATGATACCGAACATTGGAAAACGGTAGTACGATACCGTTTTGAGTACCAAAGCCAGCATCACCAACGTAATACCGATTTGAAGGAATTTTGAAGGAGCGACTACAGGCCTGATAGAGTAACAACGCGTCGTTGATAGAGCCCTCCGCTCCGGCGAGAACGTAACTGAAGGACCGGTCTTGCCGTATCGCTGCGAACACGTTCTGCGTTACCTGGCCTTTGCGGTTATACCAGCGGACTTGCTCTGACGCCTTTATGTGCGCCCTGATGTGAGTGCCGTCAATTGCCCCAATACAACCGTTGAACGCTAATATCTTGGGGTTGAGTTCGATCGCTGGATCAAGCCAATCGTCCTCTGGAAGCCGCACGTACGCCCTATGAAGCGACACCATCATCGGGAGGATTATCGCAAACGACCTCGATATCGAGCTCTGAGTTATCCTGAACTTATGGGCTGCAGCACGCTGGTCACAGCCGCGGCCAAGGATATACAACACCACCATAACCTTCTGCGCCGCGGTTTGATACCGCGTACTGCGGAGGCCCTCGTGGACCTGCAGCCAACGCACCAGGGCCGAGAACGTTGCTTTATCCATACGGAAAAGCTCTTTGAACTGCGTATCTGATCCAGTTTGAAGACTCCTGGCAAATCGTTGCGGGCCGGAGGGCCCCTCTGGATGGATAACTTGGCAGACCGCAGGTCGTGTTCTGGGCTAGCAGTCCTCCTCCGCAGTCCCTAGCAGCGTGTGGGCGGCCAGACCGGCGGCCAGAACGAAGAAAGTGCCCATAATGGCCAGGTAGGTTTGAAGAGATCTTTATTTGGTGATAAACTGTATGCTAACAGATCGATAGGTATTATTCTTCCCGTTCCACGCCATCGCCGCTCTCCCCAACAGGGCCAGTCGACCGCGAACCGGCTAGAAACCAGAGCTGAACTGTTCAATTTCGCGGTTTGCGCGAACCGCCTGTTCAGCTCTCCAACCGGCAGAAACACCAGAATCACCCCTGTTTTCTAACCTCCTCCGGTTAGCCGCGACCTGCATTAGCGCGGTACATCGCTAACAAGGGCCTGTGGCTTCGAAATTTGCGAACAGGCTGTTCGCCCGACTTGGCCAGCGAAATTGCTGCCAGAAACGGGATAGTGGCCCTTGAAAAATCAGTCTTAGCACACCTGAATAGCCTTGGCAGTCCGAACCGGCTGTCCTGCTCGCGAGAAGATCTGACCCTTGGGGTGCTCTTTCCTTACATCCAGTTTCTCTAATCAGGCGAGTTATATTACCAGAGCCGCCAGTTGCTTGGCATGGGAGATGTTTACCAGAGCCGGGCTGGATTCTTTGATTGTGACAAACGTGTTTACCTAAAGTCTGTCCTAGTAAATGTGTTTCCCAAAGCTGGTCTAGTTTCTTTGGTCTTGGTGCATGTGTTTCTCAAAGTCGGTCCAGTTTCTTTGGTCTTGGTGCATGTGTTTGTTTCCCCGAAGCCGGTCAGTTTCTCCAGATGTGTTTCCCTAAAGTTGGTCCTGGTGGACATGTCCCGAAGCCGGGTCTAGTTTCTCTCATCATGGGAGATGCGTTTCTCTGAAGCCGAGCTAGTTTCTTGGGTCGTGGGAGATTGCTTACCAGAGCTGGGTCTAGTCATAGTAGACGTGTTTACTTAAGTGAGAGTTTCCATCCACTGTTAAATCGTCGCCATGTTCTGTAGTCCTCCATACATAACCCTAACCCTGGCTCCCAACCCTGCCCTCCAGTACTGCAGCGTTGGCGGTGGCGTTGCGGGGTTGCTGGAAGCTGATTAACTAATTCTTAAGCTGAGCTCTTATCCGTGGCTGCAATCTATCTGACTCGGCGCTGATTGAATAGAGCTTCTTGAGAGCTTGAGTGGAGCTTGAGTGAACTTTGTAAAGTGTACGCGTCAAGGAAGGTGAGATGAAAAAGCCGCACCCACCAGCTGACAGTGCACGCCGGACACCTAACCATATAGGACGCGTTGCTGGCCACAGTTTCCAAGCTCGGAACAACGTGTGCAGAAAACAACGCTAGCGCAACCAGCACACGCTTAGGGGGTCAATACTCGCAAATTCCTCCAACTCAACACGCGGTTTAGCCTCCGAACCCATTGGTTTGATTCCAACCGAGACTTGAAAATATCAATCTTTTTTTCTTCTTTTCTTTTTGCCCCGACATTCACATTTCTCATATGCGCAGTAATTAGCATACTCGGTGCCCTGTATGCTCACCGGAGAGAGTTCGGAAAGCTCTTTCCTCAGATGATGTCGCAGGGCCTTTCCCTAGCGTATGATGGAGCTCTTTGAGGCTGCATTCAAACTGACGTTAACTATCCCCGTTTTCCAAGACTACCGGCTGCTGAAAGCCTCTACACTATCTGCAGTCCAGATATCTAAACAAGAATCTGGCTGCTTCTCAACATGCAGCTAGTTGGCTCTAAGCTAGGAGGGCATTCGCAATAACAAAAAAAGATTTGGGTAAGAGAGAGGCGGTAGGTAACGAGGGAAAGGGAAGAGAGAAATTACCTTCTCGGTCTTCTCGACAGCCTTCTCGGCCTAGGTCGCTGACCACCAATATGCTGGTCTCGCCATTCTCCTCGTTGTCCTTGGGCACCGCGAAATAGTGTAGACTCGAATCCCTTGCTAAAAGTTGCCCTCGACATTGCTTCAAATACTTTGCGGCTTCGACTCGGGACATTATTCCCCACCCCATATCCTACCGTCCCTTTGTATCATCAGCCCCGGCATCTCGTCCACCGCTCACTAGCCGCCTCCGAGTCCCAGACAAGGACAAATGGATCAACGCGGAGCGGCTTCGCTAGGCGGGAGCGTTCGGCATCGCCATCACCCAGGAGCTGCCGCCCAACTTCCCGCCGCTGACGCTCAACATCATGCGCGCCGTGTGCGCCGTGTGGGCATCTGACAACGCGCAACAGACGCGGCTCGTGCGCGTGCTCGACGCCCTCTACGCAAGCGTTACGGCTTTCGAGGAGATTGTGAAGAGTATCGTGGTCATAACCTTTTTAAATATCTCCTCTCGAACCTTGATCAAGATTTTTTTGAGCTCTCGATAGGGAATCGCCCTCTCTACTCAGTGACTGGGATAGGCCGCCCCATCACACACTGTAAAGCCCAGAGCAGGCAGTCAGCGTCAAGTTCTAGGCTGTTTTGAAGGACCTGAGCTTCTATACGCGATTTGCTAGCTATCTTTGTTAGTCTGTCCATGATGTTGAAGATTATTCCTGGGGATAGCGATGCTCTTATTTCTGAAAGCGGCGCCTGGACAATCCCAGTACGAGGGCTTGGGTCACTTAGATAGCGGCCACTCTAAGCCCTTGAACATTGTGATTATCGGGGCGGGCATTGGCGGACTCACGGCCGCCATTAGACTGCGGCGAAGCGGCCATAACGTCCAGGTCTGTGGCTTTGCCTCTGCTAATTATCCGCTACTATTGAGTGGGTTGACAGCCCAGCCGCACTGATGACTCTATATGTATGTACTCGGTACTGAGATAGCATCTGCAGCAAGGTTGGCAAGACGCGGGGGCTGGGCTAGACTAGACTACCTAGACAGTCTCAGATTGAACTCGCATGCTAGCCATCGAGAGACGGGAGTTTGTCATTCTCCCCGGCACAGCCCTTGGTTCAATTAGCGTTGATTGGTTAAAAAAAACAAACCCCGTCTCATGAAATCTTTGAGATGCTGCCATTTCACGTCGTACGACAGATTGTCGACGTAGACTCGGCGGTCCTGCTGTGACGTCTCTCGGATGTTGTTCGTGACTTGCTCTCTGTGAGCTGCCCTGTCTTTAAAAGATCGCTGTGGCGCACCACCGTAACCCGAAACTGATCCTCCGAAAGATGCGCCTTGTCCAGTCATGGGAGACCGGCTTCTTCTGCGAGTTCGACTCCGCGATCAATCACGAGGCTTAGCTACACAAGGAGAGGGTCCCAACGCCATCCAGGAGACGTATCAAACACTTAGGCAAGAGTTTATCATTAGGCCATGCCGTCACTGCCGCCCCGGAGCGTGGCGTCGCGGTCGCGGTCTCTGCCAGTGCATTCGCGCTCAAAGCGGGCGCCAATCCCAAGACCAAAGGAACTTCATCGCTCTGACGACGTTACAATCCCCCTAGCTACCACGGCACCTTTCTCATCTCCCCGCCCTCAAACTCCCACTGCATGTAGTTTTTGGCTACCCGTCGGTCCTATTTATGCCTGTAGCTGAGTTCACGTTTCGCCATTAAGGAGCTGCAAGCGATAGCACTGTTTCCCGTGACAAGTTAAATTCGCAAAGAGAGAGTAATAAAATGGATTATCAAGAAGTGGCTCTCCTATATGTCTTTTGCCGTATTGGAGCCTACATTCTTGTGCGTTCAACGTAAAGATATGCAAAAATCGACTGCAACCCACCTTCCACAACCACCAAAATATCGTCGTCGCCGCATTCAATCTATACATCAATATGGCTTCATTTTTCCTTGTTTACTTCGTCGCGCAGTACTAACTAGCGATAGAAATAGCTGCCCTTAATCTGAGCCATCTTAGCGACAACAGCCATCTCAGCGATGCGCCCGATAAAAATGCGCCGCCACCACCGCTGTCAAACCCGCTGCCCGCCCACAAGCTGTTTAACACAAAATATGACAACCTCGACGACTTAGTCGACGACCATCCTCCTATCGAACAAGACTACCTTTCGATAAAGTCAAGGAAGATGTTTATCCCTGAGCATAAGGCCGTCATTGCGAGTTACATGGACCGGGCATTAGTCCTCAATTGTAATATTGCAAGGGAGCTTTGTGTAAGGAAACCACCCTCGTAACCACCATGGCCACCGCCACCAGGGCCACCCTCGCCACCGTCGCCACTATCGCCACCGCTAACAGGGCCACGCACTATCGCCACTACCACCCTGGCTACGCAAGGATGACTCGTAACCCCTTTCACGTGTATATAGACCATGGCCTTCGCACACCTCTTTCGCTCAGGCCAGGTTGAAGTCTTACGCCAATACCAGTCATTGCTCGCCCTGTTTGTTGCTCCTATTGTGACCACCTTGATCAGGCGTACCTGCCTTCTCTTACATAAAGCCTCTAGGGTCTTTGGCCGTGGTGTGTGTTACCTGAAGCTGGGTCCCTAGCCGTGGTGCATGTGTTACCTAAAGCTTAGTCCAGTCTCTTTGATCATGGGAGATATGTTTACCAGAGGGTCCAGTTGCTTCGGTCGTGGCAGTTTTCCCCCGAAGCCGGGTCTAGTTTCTCTAAAGCTAAGTCCAGTTTCTTAGGTCTGGTGTACCTAAAGCCTCCAGTTTCTTGGGTCTGGTGGACGTGTTAACCAGAGCCGGGTCTACTTACTTTAGTCGTGGCGGTATTTACCAGAGCCGGGTCCATGATGGTGTATATCCCCAGAAGCCTCTAGTTGATTATGGTGCATATATCCCCTGAAACGTCCAGTTTTTGGTTCTGGTGGATATATCTCCCAAAACGTCTAGTTTCTTTGATCATGGTGCATGCATCCCTTGAAGCTGAGTCTAGTTTCTTGGGTCGTTGTGCATGTGTTTACCAGAGCGGTCTGGTTGCTTTGGTGGCAGTATTTACCAGAGCCAGCCCAGTTTCTTTGGTCTTGTGTTTCTGAAGCCGGGCTAGTTTCCCCGGCCGGGTCCAGTTCTTTGGCCATGGCGCATGTTTTTCTCAAAGCCTCTAGTTTCTTGGGTCTGGTGTACCTGAAGCCTCCAGTTTCTTAGTTGTGGTGGATACTTGAAGCCTCCAGTTTCTCTAATCGCGAGATGTGTCTTCTGAAGCCGAGCCGGTTTCTCTAGCCGTGGTAAATGTTTCCCCTAAAGCCTCTAATTTCTTTAATCATGGTGGATGTGTCGCCGGGCCCAGTTGATCAGGTGCAAGTGTCCTTGCAGCCGGGTCGAGTTTCTTAGGTTGTGGGAGATGTGTTTACCAGAGCCGGGTCTAGTTGATCTGGACGTATTTACTTGAAGCTACCAGTTCTTTAGCTATGGCGAACCTGATTTGAAGCAGCTTCCACACGTCGATACGCCGAAATGGAGCTGAAGAAGAAAGACAATGACCGCACAGGACAGAATTAAAATTAACACATGGGATGGTAGACTGCCTCAAAGGCTGCTATTCACCTATTTGCACCTGAAGCTGCTGTTCACTTGTTTGTATGTCAAGGCTGCTATTCACCTATTTTCCTCAACGGCTACTATCCACCTATTTGTATGTCAAAGGCAAGTAATCCTCGTTCTAGGATTAATAACGCTACTATTTTCTCCTACATATCAAAGGCAACTGTTTACTACATCTCATGCTGCTGTTACTGCATCTTAAGGCTGCTGCCTTCAATTGCCTCAACGGCTGCTGTCTACCTGTTGCACCCTGTCTGTATCCTGTCTATATCCCGTGCATTCAAACGCGACCAGACGCGAGCAAGACAGCTAAGGCAGGGGCGGCCAACCGTAGGCAGGGGCGGGCCAACCGTAGCCCGGATGCGGCAGACAACAAGAGGCAAGATCGAGGCAACAGGGCGGGCACGTGGGGCAGGCTACCGGACAGCAAGACATGGCAGGGGCGGCCAACCGTAGCCTGGATGCGGACAAGTCCGAGGCAACTTACGGAAGCTACGAGTTGGTGAGCAGACTGCCAGAAACCGTGGAAGCTACGAGGGGTGATGGCTGGGCGGGGTTGCCTCTTGCGTTATTCTGCGAGTCGGTGGTGATGACTGGGTGGGGTTGATGCTGTTGCGTAATTCTGCCCTTGCGTTTCTGCCTAGGAGATGGTTATTTCTATGCTCAAAACGTCTACGCTTGTACATGTACAGACGTCTCTCTATTTCTACATATTGCTAATCTTCAAGACGGCTGGCGGCGTGGTCAAAGGAAGACGGCTGGCGGCATGGTCAAGGGGGAGATAGCTGGCGGCGTAGTTAAGGAGACGACGGCTAGCGGCATCGGCTACCCAGGCGAGGAGCGCATCGCAGAGCTGTAGACATTGGCATTGGCGGCATCGCCACGTCGGGTTGGCGTCGGCTTCACCCCACATGTTCTGGTGCTGTGATGGGTGTGCTGTGGTGGGTGTGCTGTTGTAGATGTGCTGTGGTGGGTGTGCTGTGGTGGGTGTGCTGTGGGTGTGCTGTTGTGGGTGTGCTGTAGTGGGTGTGCTGTGGTGGGTGGGTGTGCGTGTGCCAGTGGGCGCTGGAGAGCGCACGGGCCAGTTGGGACTAGCGCGGGGTTACAGGATCGCACTGGCCGCACTGCTGGCTGCACTACTACGGTTGGCCGCACTAGGTGAACCGCGCGAGCGCGTCGCCGTCGATTGCTAGCTCAGTCGACCCCTCGCCTGCCAACATCATGTCTCCCATAGCGTCTAATACATGGTACAACAACGCGGTAGCCCAGCCGCGGTTTCACGAGTCCACGTCGCTGCCGCCATCTCGCCACACGAACCTGTCCAGAATCAAACAATCTCCAACGGAGCAGTTCAATCCGTCACACCCCGTGCGGCTTGCGCCACAACCCAAGCCCACCATTGTCAAAGTCAAGCGTCCACCGCCGCCTCCCCCGGCCCCTGTTAGCAAGCCCGAACAGGTGCGAAAAACCACGTCCTCGTTTACCAGCATGACAACTATACCAGCTTCGGCGGCCGCTGCTCTCACAGCGGATGCATTACCAACCATCCCTGCCGGGTCCGAGCAATCGATCCTCGACTTTGGTAAGGTGAGCCCCGGCGACGAGACGGATGCGCCGAGCATAATGCTCCATATTCCGTTGAACGGGGAGACGAACAAGCACGTCAACTTCTTGCGCATGGCCGAAGAGCGTTATGGCTGGGACGCGCTCCATCCCCGTCTCGCCGCCAATCGTGAGCGCAAAGCGCGCATTGCGGCAGCCAGTGCCGCGCTGGAAAAGAGCGGGAGCCGGCGGGAGTCGGGCGACAACATGGACGAGGATATACAGTCAGATGCCTATGTCAGCAATGTGGAAATGGGCGGCGTCGCCAACGGCGTCGGTAATGGTAATGCGACTACGAATGGGAACGGCGGCGGGACAAGCGGTCCCGACGGAGCGCCTGTAAAGCCGGCGCAGAAGAAACGCAACTTCAAAGAGGACGAATACGACAAGGATGACGATTTTGTCGACGATTCGGACATGCTATGGGAAGAGCAGGCGGCCGCCAGCCGCGACGGCTTCTTTGTCTACAGCGGGCCCTTGATACCCGAGGTTAAGAAGCCGGTCGTGCCCACGGGGCCGCCGAAACGTGGGCGTGGCGGTCGCGGCCGTGTCAGTCGCGGCGGCAGAGGCGGTACCGCCCGAGGCAGAGGTGATGGGGTGCATATTGTGACGGGGGTGGATATTGTCAGGGGTGGATGTTGTGACGGTAGATGTTGTGACGAGGTGAATGTTGTCGGGGGTGGATGTTGTGACGGGGGAATGTCGTGACGGGATCAGATGCCGTAACGAGGGTGGATGCCGTGATGGCAGCGGATGTTGTATCGAGCAGGTCTTGAGGCGAGTTGGGCAGTACCAGCGATTCGGCAGGCCCGACTAGCGGCCTAGAGCTCTCGGGAACAACGTTTGTGGTCATCTTCAATGGGACTGCCTCGGCCTTTGCCTGTTGCTTCTGACTAGCAGCTCAGAACTCCTAGACTAAAGGGTGTGTGACGGCGTTGGGAGGGCCGTGATATCTGCTGGGCTACCTAGGGAATGGCCATTTGTAACGACCTCTCACGTAACTGATGTTGGAGAACCAAGATTACCTGCCTTTGGGAGTAAACAGCGGTCGTTAATCCCCCACCATTACACCTTTGACATCAGAGTGAACAGCCGTCGTTAATCCCCACCATGACTTGCTACCTTTGACATCAGAGTGAACAGCAGCCTTGAGGCAGTCTACTATCCTATGCGTTAATTTTAATTCTGTCTTGTATAGTATTTCGTCTCCCTTTACGGCGACTACCTCCCGTGTCAACGTATCGAAGCTGCTTCAAGGCCTGACGATATCTATCCTGTGTAGTATTTCGTCTCTTCCTTATGGCAACTCTCACTCCATCTCCCGTATCGACGCCAGTGTTCCTAGGCCACGACTGACGATACCTACGTCGACATTGAACTTGGGCAGCAGGCCAAGCAAGTACTCGTCTAGGCTGGATTCAATGTGGAGTGGAGAGATTATTCAGGAGCCGATAAGAGGGTCACTTTCTCAAAATACCTGACGAGACAGACGACATTGCCCAGTTTCTAGCGCGGGCCACATTGCCTAGTTTCTGGCGCGGGCCACATCTCCCAAGGTTGGACCACACCGGGACGTCACAAATATGTCATCAGGTGTGTTGTAGGAAGTAGCGCCAGCTGCAAGTAAGGACTTGCAGTTCCTCAGTCTACAGGGAAGGAGCGGCATTATTGGTTGTTCATCGACGCCTGCCTACAATGATCCCGCTCCTTCCAATGATCCCGCTTGTTCCCTGTAGACTGAGGAACGGGGAAAGAGGTTCTCAGGCTGTGACTTCTCAGGCTGTGACTTCTCAGGCTGTGCCTTCCCAATACCCATTTAGGGCAACATCGCACACAAGTCCACAACTAAATTTTTACCAACGAGGGTTCCATCGGTTTGGCCAAGCAGTGCCATCTCTGACATGTCAAGGACAAGACCGAACTACTATTGATAGCGCCAGTGCCGCCAATAGATATTCACCAGTGCCCGCCAACAGATATTCTACATTGTCTCCGTCTTTTAATTTGTCAGTGAATGACTAGCTTCTAGAGACTAGCTTCTAGAGTCTGAAGCTTGCACACTTACCCATCTCTGTCGTCCCAGCCTCCGATGGAAACTCCTCTAGCGTCAACAGACCCCCCTGAGGATTCCCTTTTGTCGAAGTCTTCGATGGAAACTCCTCCAGCGTCAAACCCCAAGGGGTTACATCATTCACTGAGCAACAGCTAGGCCAGCTATCTGAGTGCCCAGTACAACAGCCGAGAAATGACGCTTCTGAAAAGGCCCGTTGATGAACATTCCAAACAAGCTAACGCCTCGATCCCCTCATTGCAAAACGACCTTGCCCGCAACCAGCAACTTATCACAGCCGATCTTGCTGAGTCAAAGACGAGGTCAGAGCAAACTGCCCTCGAGGTCGACGAGCTAAAGCCTCTTCGACGCAGTCTTGCACTATTGAAGCAGCAAGTTGACCAAGATAAGGAGGCAACTAAACCGGTTTCCGAACTTGCTAAAAAACTCTTCAATCTTCAGAAAGACGTCGTGAAGATACAGAAGAGTACCCTACAGAGTATCAAAGGTATTCAAGGGCAAAATCCGTTCATTATCGGCAAACTAAGCCTCGTAGAGGCTGAAATGGTACAACTGAGGGCAGAGAAGCTGCTGATTGAGCAAAGGATATCTGTCTTAGAGCGCAAATTGGATGGCATAGATGCGTCTCGCCAGGTCCCGCCTGAGACCGTCGGCTTTATCAACAAGATATTCCTTCGGAGTGAGAAACTGATGAAATTACTGGACGACCATGAAGCCGAGGCAGCTGATATATGTGCGACGCAACCTGGTAAGTACACATTGTGCGTTGAAGCTAAGATACGAATTCTGATCACTTGAACCAGCCCCAAGCACGTTGCAGAAATAGGGCCAGATTGTTGTCAAGGACAAAGGCCAGATTTTGTCAAGAACAAAGGCCAAGTAGAGTATGGCGGCACGCTTGGCTCAAGGCCGCAAGCGCAAGATTGAAGATTTATCTCTTGATCGCCCAAAACGGACCCTGTATCCCTATAGCAGTCGCGACTTCAAAAGCCTCCTCCGCCTCTACCGGTCTTTTAACCAAGAATACAGCAACAGCAAGCCAATTTCGGAGGTGGATTTTATCTAGAAATTCATTAATAGCATCAATAACCCCCGTCTATCGAGACATGTTCAGGAGTTGCTGGCCGCTAGCCTCCCCGAGTATATATACACGAGAAAGGAGACACAGAGAAGTAACCAGCACCACATCACCATATCTGGCAAACTCTCATGAGATGAATTTCAAAATGCTTTTGCTAAGACAGCAATCATGTGAAGAGCAGATAGTTGTTTTACGAGACGAGAGAGCCTGGCTTCATGTTGGTGCACTGGCAGATGGTTGTTTTACGAGACGAGAGTGTTACGATCCTGGCACAGGCGTGCAGGAGGCGCCTTCTGGTCCCCTGCAGATTGGCTGGAGCAGCCAGGTGGGGTAGACCCACCTAGGGGCTAGTGCAGCCAACCAGGAGGTGGTCAGTCGCGACGAGCCGCCAAGGCTCGACTGACCACCACTGGCAGGACGGTCAACCAGTCAGGAAGCGGTCAGTATGATCAGTGCGATCAGTGTAGACTGATCGCAGTGATCGCCCTGACCTTTGGAGAAGGACTCTGATTGGTCCGCCTTAGATAGATATATACGACGACCGTAGCCACGGTCTTAGATAGTTCTTGCTTGGTTCTTCAAGCAAGCAATACACATTCACTGCACTCATACACTTTGAGTGGCATTCCGATTTGACTGTATTACCCGTGCGATAGGAGCTTGCCCTTTGTTCTATCTTTATAATTACCAACCCCAGCATTCTGTGGAGCCCGTGCTCCCTTACAGACAGACGACCCTAACAGTCGAGTGGTTTGTAATATCATTCTAATTCTATGCAGTCTTTAAAGATTTGAGGTATCTGGTCGATTCAGGCGTTGATTGTTTGTTGTGTGAGGTTTTTCCAACCTTCTTCGGCCAGCTCTTTAATAATATTATCCTCCCAACAAGGCCTTTTCTTGACATACTCCTTCGGCGCCTCCCACGCCTTCTCTATCGGTGAAAAGTCAGGTGACTGACTACAATTAAAGAAGCTTATTAACCCGGCCTTTGTTTTCCACTCTTTGACGATGTTGGCCTTTCCTGTGCCATGCCCAGAGTCATTATCTTCCTCAAGCACAAAGGAATACCCTGCTCAAAGCCACGAGCCAACAAGTTCCAGAATGGTATCTCGGTATACCTTCATTGTCATTTTCCCGTTTGTATTAGTAGGAACATCATACCAAACTAATAGGCCCTTGAAACCGTAGCTAACGGCTTCCTAACAATGAAGCCTCTTTTGATCCTGTTCGGCTGGCTCCTCTTTTTCAAGTAAACAATCTCGGCAACAACGTTCCCAAGGACGGGTTATAACATGAACCTTCCCTTGAGATCCCCAACCAAAGTGCGTTACGTCAGAGAATCTAATGTGGTACTAGTCTTTTGGATCGGGGTGTCGTTCGAGCATTATGCGGGCGTAATCCAGCCTTCTTTCTTTGAGTTAGATTGATGTATACTTTTTCTCGCAAGCAATACATATCCGGAGATTCAAATCCTTAACGGTCTGCCTAACTGTCTCTTCACAAATGTCGATATCGAGACCTGCTGCGGCAGGGAGAGCTGCCCAAGAGATGGTACGTCTGTCAAAGCCGTTGTTGTTGATAAGTATCTCAATCGTAGCCAAATGCTCAGCAGAAAGCTTCTTTTTCCAGCCCCGGGTATCTGCATAAGTAGAATGAAAGGTCCGAGCATCGTGTTCTCTGAGCTCCCTAAGGTATTTCTGTCAGAAGAAGCTGCATCTAAGCCACATGTAGGCGTAGGTGGCGTATATGTTAGGCCACATACGGCCTAGGTTATGTAAGCCGCATACCGTATAACTACGTTATCTTGGCTATGCCCACCTTTTCTTTTCTTCCGAATACAAGCACTTTTTTGCCCTCAATTGATGCAGCGTTGCATGTGACACTTTCTTCCCATAACCTCGCAGCACAACCTCAATCAATCGCACGTACGATTTATCGCTTTCTAGGCATGAACAGGTGCGCCGAATGCTTCGCGGTCTTCCAGCTATTGATTCCTGGTAACATATTATCAGGAACGCGTGTTTTTTGAGCCGCTGCAATGGCTATGGTTGGGGTCTCTCAACTACAGCCCCCGCTGCCCCCGCCGAATCCAGGTGGTGGTGGTGTCTCTCAACCGCCCAACCTTACCTTTCGAGACCCCAGATGACGATATTCCTCCCGAATATAGGCGTTGCCGTAGCTGCGGGTTTGTCAAGCATAATCGCGAATTTATACCTAAACGCGGTACACGACTGACAGTCAATTGCAGAGCCTGTCGTGACGCCGAGCTTGGTAACGAGCGATGCAGGACCTCTTTTCAAACATACCGGTTCTTCCTTCGCAGCCGAAGCGTACTCCCGAAGTCTTGTCCTCGCTTGAAGGCCGTGCCTCCCGACCCACCTCGATGGCTTATAATCCTTTTCACCAGCCTTCCGGTTCGCCTCCGCCTCTGCCTCTGCCGCCCGGTCTCCGTTCCCGAGCATCGCCTGGACCGAGTATCGCTTAGACCAAGCATCGCTTAGACCGAGTATTGCTTAGACTGAGCATTGCTTGGATTTGAAAGCCTTTGTCTTGGTAGTCGTGCCTTGATACCGATCTTTCCCCGCGGGCAATTACCTAGGCCTATACTCGGCAGTTCTCAATATAGTAGTGGATTTCAACGCCTCACCTCGATATTCTATTGCCGCGGTCAGGTTAAAGGGTATACCCTGAGCAATAGGCTTCATGACAATCGGCTTAGTATACAGCGGCGCCACCAATCCAAACGTCGTCAGGGACAGGTTCCCTCCGCTACGCTCCCCTCGTAATAGATTCTCGCCTGCCCTCGCAGCAGCTTCTCACCCGCCCTCGCAGCAGCTTCTCGCCCGCCCTCGCAGCAGCTTCTCGCCCTCGCAGTAGCTTCTCGCCCTCGCAGCAGCTTCTCGCTCGCCTTCGCAGCAGTTTCTCGCCCGCCCACCTTTCGCATCTTCTCGCCCACCTTCGCAGCAGCTTCTCGCCCGCCCACCTTTCCCAGCTTCTCGCCCGCTCTCACAGCAGCTTCTCGCCCTCGCAGCAGCTTCTCGCCCTCGCTCGCTGTTCGCTCGATTCCACCGATATATAGACAGCTATCCCTAGCCAAGCGTACATGCCGGAGGCTTGGCGGAGAAATTCAATTTCTTCATCTACGACCCCCGGAGACGACTAGCTAAGGAGGCTTTTGTCGAGTTTTTTGACGGCGAGAAAATTGGGCATTTTGTTAGCGTAGGGATCATGCGGTACGACGGTAAAGAAATCGCGCGTATAAAGCCAAACAATACTCAGCTTGCGGTGTATATTTTTCGCCGCCGCCTGAACCATTGGACTCGGAATAAGTTTACGTTAATTGTCCTCGGTGAAGATATCCTCGTAGGCAAGTTTGTACCCCTCGCTTTAACAAGAGATGGCTTGGCTGTCTTCCGCCGCATTACAAATAACCTCGACATGAAGATTGCGAAACAAGGCATCGAGGCCGAGGAGCATATGTATGGCTAAGAAGACCAAACGGTATTATTACAAGATAATGAGCGAAAATGGGATACGGCACGAATGTTTCTAGAGCCAAGCTAGCAGCATATGTCAAGAAGCCCAAGCAAAAGAACAAGGTCACATTTGGGGAGTCCGCTGTTCCCACGGATATCTCTCCCCAGGAGATGCAAGCACTAGAGAAAGCTTTGGACGACGTTTCGGACGTCCTGGAGAAGCAACGCCGCCCACGCTCTCATATCGTCGCCGTGGGCAAGTTCAAAGTAGCCCCATTGGATATTAGAGATATCCTATCCAAGATTGAGATACCCATGAACGTGCGACAAATCCTCGACGCTGCATCTCGCCTGCGGGCCCATCTCAACAAGTACATTGCATCCGAAACCCACGGCAATTGTGGGAAGACCAGGAAACCGGCATTGGTCGACCACGTTCAATGGGAAGAAGATCAAGTCAATGTCGATAGCGATTCAGAATCGGGCAAAGCAATCTCGTGTGGCGAAGACGGACGCCCCAGTCTTTGTATGCGGCACCTGGACACCGCTATACCCAAGCACAAATCAGAGACGGGTGTTCCCGACTTCAAGGACATCGCATTGGGTATAAACGATGTTGGCCGCATCTCGGTGGGATATGTCACGGGCACGGTTAACGGGATGGAGACCAAGAGCATCATGTTGAATGGAAGAGCCATCATCGAGTGCATCAGCTCCATTTTTGTCAAACGTCTGGGTCTTGTCCCGGAGCGACTTCTCACGCCATGGAAAGTATCCCTGGCCAACGACCAGAGAGATACGATCACGGATTTTGTCGTGATCGACGTTGTCTTGGGAGGAATTCTCACCGTCATCTCGGCATTTGTATACGGCCAGGGAGACGCATTCGACCTAATCCTATCCCAGGCCTAGTACCTCAGAGTGAGAGCTGTACAGGATTGGAACAAGCGCACAGTCACAGTGCAAGGTAGATATGGAGAAATCACTAAGCTACAGGATATACCGAGAAGTCTTGTACTATCTGGAGATGGACAATTCAATGGCGGAGTGTATACTATCAAACATGAGAGCCGGAGTCATGAGATGGGCACACGATGGTCACAGACACTTTTCCGACGTCATTACGCTCCGATCTTTGAGAGGAAGGTTCTGGTGGCCAACCTAAAACACGGACGTAGAGAATTTCTACAAGGGGTGTGAAGTCTGCCAGAAGGCAGGTCCCAGAATCCCAAGGATAAGCCCAAAGTCTATCGCGGTCTTCCGGCCCATGTATCTTTTTGGCATGGATTTTATGGGGCCCATAAGTCCTCTAGCCGTAGATGGCTCAATATACATGCTCGTGGGAGTGGACTACTTCTCTCGCTTTATCTTTGCACAAGCGCTGCTAGCCGCGACGGCATATACGGTAGCGATGACTTAGATGAGGTGCTAGGCACCCATTATCGGCTGGCCCGCGCAGACATATAGCGGTAATAGAAGCTACTTCAGGAATGATGTCTTAGGGTGTATCTTCGAGAACTATGGCACCCGAATAGCCTTTTGCCCAGTATCTCATCCGGGTTCCACTGGACTCTCAGAAACCAGCGTCAGGCTGATCAAAGCACAAATGAGGAAATGAGCGGCGACAGTGCCCGCTCATCGCTTACCGGAATGGCATATCAGCCTCGGCTCGTGGGTCGTAGACGTCAATACTCGGTATCACGAATTGATCGGGGTCATCGACGGGAAGGCATTCCGGGGGTTTAATCCAATTCACGAACAAATATCGGCCGAGGACATATGCATAGTGAACGGGAAGCTGGTCACTGTCACGGCAGGGCCAAAACCCGCTAGTTGGGCGCATCGGTTTTAGGCTTTGTGGCTCGTGCACTCTTGCAGGAGCTCCACTCTCCACCACTGCCCTAGCAGATGACCTTACACGTGATCCTTAGCGCCTACAACTATTTCCCCACGGCCGCCCAGCCGCTCTCGATTCCTTCCTTCTTTCTTTCCTTAGCTTTAGATTCTACGAATACAGCCTGGTAAATGCAGCCTTGTCTCATTCGATTGACTCTGCGGTGATAGTCACCAAGATAAGAGTACGCAAGATCATAGATCTATGCATGTCTCGTGACCCCGAAAGCCCGGAGCTCACGCTGGGAAGCCCGGCTTTACGAAAAAGTCCCAACGGGAAGTATTACAAGAGAGACCTCCCTCCGCTACCCAAAGGCACGAAAGACCTGACCAACCATCCATTACTTAAACTATTTACAGATACAGAAAAAGTCCACCTGAAGGGGCATCGTAAGATGGGGTCTTTCTCCCGCATTGCGGCTTCACTCGCTAGAGGGCATCAAGTTCTTGACTGCATGTGGGTGAGAACCTACAAATTCGATAAACACGGTTACCTCCTGAAGGCCAAATGCTGCCTAGTGGTCCGAGAGAACCAACAGAGCCGCGGAGCCAGCGAGAGCACCTACGCGGCCACCCTGGCGAGGAAGTCCTTCCGCACTCTATTGTCAATAGCAGCACGCTTCGACTTGGAGATGATACAGTACGACGTTATCAACGCATTCGTATATGCGGACCTGCTGTATAAAGTCTTTATGAAAATGCCTCTCGGTTACCCTGCCAAAGGACAAGTATTGCTGCTACCTATGGCTCTCGCAGGCAGACTTTATTAAAGTAATAAAGTTACTCACTAACCGGAAGGTCCGGCTGACTGATCGCTCCAAGAAGATACTACGGGTGCCTATGAAGTTGAAGGAATGTTTGAAGGAGATGCATTACCAAGCGAGAGGCAGCTTTTCCAACGATGTACCGGGTCCCTCTTATACGCCGCCGTCATCACACGGCTTGACGTTGCCTTCCCGGTATTACGATTAACACGCTTCAACCAAACCCTGGACCAGAACACCAAGAAGCCGCAGACAAAGTCATCGAGTACTTGCTCGGCAAATCACACTACGCCTTACAGCTCAGAGGCGGTAATACCCTCAAACTGTGGTCAGACGCGTCTTTCGGGGACAACACCTTGGACCGGAGGAGCTCACAGGGCTACGCTATCAAACTATTCGGCGGCATCGTGGCCTAGCAAGCGAATAAACAAGTCACTGTTATCACATCAATAACAGAGGCAGAATTGCTCGCACTCGCTCAGGTCACGAGGTAGGGTCTTTTCTTGAGCAGATTACTTAGTGAGCTAGGCGTTAGGTTTGACGACCCGGTCCTACAAGTATGGTGTGACAACACGCAGACCATTAGGCCAGTTAATAAAGACATCGCTAGGCTGCAAACAAAATTACAACATGTTGACATTCACAACCAATGGCTTTGCGAGGCAGTTGGAAGCCAAAAGATCAGGGTCGAGCACGTGCCAACCACTGACATGATTGCCGACGGCCTGACAAAGGCCCTCGGGGGTGACAAGTTCACGGCCTTCAGGGGACAGAAAACAGGTTAGAACGAGACACTTCAATTTAAGCCATTTTTTTTGTGCACAACAGTTTCTGCTGTGGACTTGCCGTGCCACGTCACTTCCCGCCAAAGCAAGCGCAAAGCCCCAAGTAGACACAGTTTACCGTCGGCACGCTCCTGGCTGTGGACTTGCCGTGCGTCACTTGCCCCCGCAGGCAAGCGCGAACCCCCGAGTACACAAGCTGTAGCACCCGCTCTTGGCTGTAGACGTTTTAAATCTTTAGAGTAAAGTTGTTTGCTGAGTACACAAGTCTTACCGCGTAGCACACAAGTTTGCTGAGTAGTATCGTTTTGCTGAGTAGTATCGTTTTGCTGAGTGTATCGTTTTGCTGAGTAGTATCGTTTTAGCTGGGCATATTTGCTGAGTAAAATTGTTCGCTGCCGGCACCCGCTGACTTTTGCCCTTCCGGCTTCTACGTCACTGATCCCCGGCAACACCCAGTCTAATATAAATAGCTGCATTGTGTTTGTCTCAGATACACGAATACGTGACCATCTTCAAATCCATTCTCAAGCGTTCAGGTGAAAGTACAAAGCGACAAATCCGTACCCGGCAGCTCCGAACCACTGTCCGGTTCGCCATGCCTCCAAAAGGCACAAAACGCACGCGCGCAACGGTCGAAAGCAGTGCAGATGAAGCCCTCACAACCCAAGCCGGCCGTACTGTTAGGAAGCTGCGTAGCAGAGGACCCGATCAATCTTCGACAATACCCTCCCTCTCTCCTGCTCCCTCTCTGAGCACGCCGGCGGCTCCCGCGAAAACCACCGCACGGCGCCGGCTCCCTAGTGCCCGCCGCAACGCCCGCTCCATGAGCTCTGTTGTCCGAGACTCGGCCACAGAGCCCGGCGACGATGACGATGACAATGACGAAGAAAGGGAGGTAGAAGAAAGAGACCGCACGGCTTCGGCAACGCACCGTATCGTACTGGTCAACAAGAAAAAGGAGGGGAATAAGAAGCTCCGGCTGGTGCTCAACAACCGCTCTGTGAATTCCGCATCGGGAACTCCGAGCCGCTCGCAGGCCCGGCGAGCGGCTTCCACAGAGACTACTCGTGACCGCCCGGCAGTAGGCGACGTGCTCAGTGACGACGATGCCGCTGCGGAAACGCCGCGGGCCAGCGGCTCGCAGGCACGGCCCAAGTCAAGCGAAACAGCCAGGCGTAGGAAGAAGGCTGCCTCGGTCATCACGGTAGACGACTCGGCTGACGAAAGGCCGGAGTGACTTAGCGTGAGATTCACCTTCGCCGGCAACGTCGGGCCTTTTTTTCTATAGACCTACTTGGAAAAGTTCGTAGTAAACAGAAGGATCTCTCTACAAAGCTAGCGTAGCTCCGAAGCAACAAAGTGTTGCATGCGAACACGGCATACTCGAAGAAACCGGGCAGCCAGGACGTCAACTTGACCGTCTCGAACGGCGAGGAAGTTATCACGGCATTCCTAGAGCGGTATGCGGTTGGCACCACCTTCTTTCTCGACCTTTTACACATCTTCAAGCTCGCCGTCTATCCGAAAGCCGGCACCGCACCGCCTACGAACGCATTTGCTTAGCCTAGCTAGCCTCCGGCGCCCTTTACATACACTGGGGATTATTTCGACAACCGCGCGGCGAACTTACCTTCTTCCTATGCCGGCTCAGTTGGCGAACCTCAATTACCTTCGTATCACGGGCTTCAAGGCACAACGGCACATTCGATCGCAGGCACGCAGTTCGAACTGCCGATTCGTACTTCCTCGCTCCCCGTACCGCCACCTACCGATCGGTTGGCCAGGGAGGTCATCACAGAGTTCACTCGCCTTTTTATCATGTCATATGGCAGGGATAACGTAGAGGTCAGGCGGGCGGCGAGAGCTGCTGAGAAAAAGCTCAATGAGGAAGAATGCGGGCTTGACAATGTTTATCTGCTTCCTAGCTAACTTTCTACATCAATAGCTTCTTCTTCAAACGCTTCTCTCCCTAGGAGCCAGCTCGAAAGCTCTCTCGAATACCCGCCCGACTCGCTCTTTCACTACAATGCCCCGCCCCCCGGGCACGCAGTTTGAAGAGCTGTTAGTTTCTAGCGATAAAAGCGATAGTGAAGTAGGAAGCAGTATACAGAGTGAGTAAGAGGCAGGATAGTGAAGTAGAAAGCAGTATACAGAGTGAATAAGAGGCAGGCATACTAGGTCGGGAGGTCTTTTGGCTTAGAAAGCTTCAACGCTCTTGTTTTCTCTATTTTCAAACATACAGTACTAAAGAAAGCGATTTCGGCCGCCTGCTCTACATATACAGAAGAGTAATCTACAATCTCCATCTCGAAAAGGCACCAGTTAAAAAGTCCTTGAAGTCCTGTTCCGAAATATCGTCACCACCGATCTACGAATGATTGCGGCGTATATATGCCTTCAAACCACCAAAAAAGCCTCGATCGGGTTGAAGTCGGGCGAGTATGGTGGTAATACCACAACAACACGCCGTATTTGCGGCAAAGGTCCCTGACCTTCGGATCGTGGTGCCAAGATGCGTTGTCCATCACCAGTATACTGTTCGGCGCCGGGAACGCATTCCTTTTCGGCAATAGGAACCTTTCAAGCCAGAAGATAAAGCCCTCGCCAGAAAAGGAATTCCTCGCTTGCTGCATGCCCTTTGAAGACTAATAGCTCAATGAGGCCATTCACTGACAACGCTGGTAACAGATAGAAGCGTTTCCCGCAGGTCAGCGTGCTCTGCATCTACGGCTCTATGCCTCTCGACGCCCACCCTGTACGCCACGCGCCGTCTCTTCGATCAGTGCCCGACTCATCCACAAATACGAACATTTCGGCTGTAAATAGCGTCACCTTCCTAAGCCAGTCGAGTCTGAGCGGCTCGCTCCGTTGCGCGGCCTCGTGGTGCAAGCGTTTGTTAGTCCAGTCGGCAGCCTTCAACTGCTAGCTAATACACGACGTCGAAACGAAAATATCGCATTCGAGGGCTAGGAACCACTGCATTTCATCAAGGTATAGGTCGGGCTTGTCTCTGAGCAAGTCACTACGTTTAGTTACTATGAAAAATGTAAAGTCCCAGACTTAGCGCTAGAGCCTATGGTTTAAGAAGAACGGCATTGTACTTAGACCAAGGCTCCGGAAAAGGATCACCGGTATCGATGTATCGCCTTTGTAGTGTGTATGCGTATGACAGGGCTATGTCGGCTTCGTCTGCGACCATTTTGGCGCATGAGTTGGAAACAAGGAGACAATACACCACAGCCATCTGCTGCTTAGTGAGGCACCGAACCATGGCAAAGGACACACTGGCAAGTGCGCCAAACTGAGAGAATTCGATCGAGCTACTTTTTGGCCCTGCGCAGTGCCTTTTGGGGTGGGGAAATGGTAAAAGTGACCAACTTATCAATTGTTGGCTTGCATTCGTGTCAAATTTGATAGAGTTGATGTGGCACGGGCACCCCAGAAAAGTGGGAATTCCTCTCCCGAATGCAACTAGTAGCAGTACTTGGTGATTCTAACACTTGTGGATACAAGTTTTTGCTGAGTAGAAATAAGTTTCTGCTGTAGACTTTTGCTGTGCCACGTCACTTCCCGCTAAGGCAAGCGCAAAGCCCTCGCCTTGTAGACATAAGTTTACTTAGTAAAGCTGTTCGCTGCCGGCACCCGATCTTGGCTGTAGACTTTTTAAATCTTTCTCAGGCCTCGACTGCCTAACTCACAAGTTTAATGAGTAAAGTTTTTTGCTGAAAGGTACACAAGTGTTTTGCTAGGTAGTACTTAAGTTTGCTGAGTAACGTTGTTCGCTGCCGGCACCGCTAACTTTTGCCTTTCCGGCTTCTACATCACCGATCCCCGCAGGCAAGCGCGAAGCCCCCCTGCCCTGTAGACATAAGTTTTTTGCTGAGAAGTGCAAAGTTCGCTAACGGCACCCCTCTTGGCTGTGGACTTTTCAAATCTTCCGCCACGCGCCTTGCACAAGTTCGCTGAGTAGTAGACAAGTTTTTGCTGGGTAGCACTTTACTAAGTAAAGTACACAAGTTTACTGAGTAAAGTTCGCTGCCGCCACCGCTGTTGGCTGTGGACTTTTTGCCTTTTGACTTCTACGTTCCCCAGGGGCCATGGCAAGCGCGAAGACCCCGTACCCTATAGATACAGGTTTACTGGGTAAAGTTGTTCGCTGTTGGTAGCCCTTCTTGGCTGTAGAATTTTTCTCCGCGCCTCAACTACCTAATTCACAAGCTCGCTGAGTAGCATACAAGTTTTAGCTACGTAGACACAAGTTTCTGCCGTGGATTTTTGCCGTGCCACGTCACTTCCCGCCAAGGCAAGCGCGAGCCCCAAGTACAGTAACTGCCCGCTCCTGGCTGTAGAATTTTGCCGTCACTGCTCCCAGGCAGCGCCCTGAGGCCTGGGCTGACATCCCGCAAGGTAGAGCTCGGTGACAACTGTTGCTCTTTTCCTCACGCAATCTACTCGGTCTATGCGTCCTGGCACAGTACCTCCAAAGTGTGGCAGACAACTAGCACAGTACCATAGCACTGGCAGACAACAGGCACAGTACCATGGCAATGGCAGACAACAGGCACAGTACTATGGCAATGGCGGACAACTGTGTTGCACCTTATGAAAACACGCCCTGACACTCGGCAGCCAACTGTGTTGCACCTTATGAAATCACGCCCCTGAACTTAGCAGCCAACTGTGTTGCACCGTCTTATGAAAACACGCTCTGACACGGCTAACTGTGTTGCACCTTCCAATGAAAACACGCCCCTGACACTCGGCCAACCTGCAGGTGCTCCCTTCTCCGTGTTGCCCCTTCCTATGTGGTCCCGTTGCACCTTCCAAGGACAACATGCCACGCAATGACTCAGTCTTTGCCTTCTTCCTCCGGTTGCACGCCGTCTTGGTTACACCCAAGGACAACACCCTGCCACGCAATCTGGCTCAGTCTTGCGTTCTTCTCTTCGGTGTGTACTGCCGTCAGGTCTTGTCGACACGACACAGCAATCGACATTGTCTGATCAGCCAAACCGCAGCCGTCACGGCCTTGTCCTGCTGTCCGGCCTTGCTGACATACCGCCAAACCGCAGCCTTTAACGACAGCAATCGACATTGTCTTGAATCAGCCATCCCGCCAAACGCAGGTGCATCTCTTTTCTCGTTGCACTACCTTGCTGACATCCCGCAGCCGTCACAGCCTTCTTCGACACAGCACTCTACATTGCGGTCTTAATCAGCCATCAACTGTAGGTGTGTCTCTTTCTCGTCACTGCCTTCCTCTTGCCCGTGCTGCACTGCTTCCTCCCTGTGCTGCACTGCTTGCTGACATCCCGCAGCCGCCACGGCCTTCTCTTCAACGATAGTAATCTACATTGGCTCTCATTAATTGTAGGTGCTTTTCCTCCTTGTACTGCCTTCTTCCCCGTGCTGCACTGCTTGCTGATATCTCGCAGCCGCCATGGCCTTCTCCGATACAATACACTTCCTTCAACACGACATAGCAATCCTTATGAGCTATCCCGCTAAACCGCCGTCACTCCCTTCTCTTCTCAATAACACCCGTTATACTACCGTCACGGCCTTATTGACACGACATAGCAATCGACATCGGCTCGGTATTGTACTACTGTCACGGCCTTATCTTTTGACACATAGCAATCGACATCGGTTTTGAATCCGCCAAACTGCAGCCGTCACGACCTTCTCCAACGACACCGCATTGGCTTGTCATGAATCAGCCATCAACTGCAGGTGCGTCTCTTTTCTCTTTGCACTGCCTTGCTAATATCCCGCAGCCGTCACGGCCTCTCCTTCGATACGACACAGCAATCCGCATAGCTCGTCTTGAATCAGCATCAACTACAGTGTGTCTCTTTCTCGTTACTACCTTCCTCTTGCCCGCGCTGTACTGCTTCCTCTCCCCGTGCTGTACTGCTTGCTGACATCCCGCAGCCGTCACGGCCTTCTTAATGATAGCAATCTATATTGGCTCGCAAGCCATCCCGCCGCCGTCACGGCCTTCACCCGTTGCACTGTCCGATTTCCTATAACGATAGCAATCTAAACCATCCCGCAGCCGTCAGGCCTTGTCTTGATATGATATAGCAATCGACATTATCTTGAATCAGCCATCCCGCCAAACGCAGGTGCATCTCTTCTCTTCTCGTTGCATTGCCTTGCTGATAACCCGCTAAACGCAGTGCGTCTCTTTTCTCATTGTACCTTGCTGACATTCCGCAGGCGGCCAACCCAGTGTCAGCAAATAAGGCCAACCCAGTGTCAGCAAAGAACAACTCACCAGTGTCAGGAACGCCAACCCCCACCCACACGGCAGCCCCAGCAGCCGCAGTAACAGGACACCACCACAAGTCCAGCAGCCCGCCCGAGCAACACAACAAGTCTAACAGCCTGCCGCACGAAAGCCAGGCCACGCAGACAAGCCGCAACAACCGCTCGCGCCCAGCCAACACCCACACAGCACAGCAGCCTCGCAAGAACCGCACGCATGCAGCCACCACACTACGCCTACACACGACAGCCGGCGCGACAACGGGACGCCAGACACGACGCCCACCACGCCCACAGCAGCCCTGTCACGAAAAGAACTTGGACAAATGGCCGAATTGGGAATAGGGGAAGGGGAGTGACGAATAGGTGCTTCCATGGGCCATGTTGCTGCTGGGTCTTCCTGATGCAGGGGAGTGAGGCTTGGGAACAAGCTCCGGACTGGGAACCGAGTCTATTCCGAGAGAACACTAATCTGACTCCCAATATGAATTATGCGCATTGCAGATGAGAAGCATTGTTTAAAAATCATTTAGATGGGTTATCGATAGACGAGATAGCAGTTTCTGGCTGCCTGGGATACCTTTGGGACTTTTGTGGCCCAGAGCACGGCCATCCGTGAAGTGGTGTTAGCCGGACAACGCCCTCTCGCAGACCAAGAGTTGGGTGGGCAGGTACCTCATTCGGCCCGCCTGTTGGGCGCCGAGATTGGGCCGGAGGGGCACGTCGCAAATCAGGTCTCCTTCACTTTATGCTGCACTTTCCGTCCTTCACAAACAACACAATTTCTCTTCCTGACCAGTGCTCGCCGACCCTGCTTTCTGCCGCAGAAAAATTTCGGATCTTCCTAGGAGCTCCGCATTGTGCTTGACGAAATCTGAACCGGACCTAAAGAGGCACCTCTCCAGCCCTCCATTCTCTCCTGCCTATCCTCTGGATACGCAGACAGTTCTCTCCTGGCTGTTTTTCAAAAATTTCGGATTTTCCTAGGAGCTCCGCATTGTGCTCGACGAAATCTGAACCGGACCTAAAGAGGGACCTCTCTAGCCCTCCATTCCCTCTGTCTTATCCTCTGGATACGCAGACAGTCCTCTCGCTTTTTTTTACAACAAGATGAACCGGACCTAAAAAGGCACCTCTCCAGCCCTCCATTCCCTCCTTCCTATTCTCTGGATACGCAGACAGTTCTCTCGCTGAAGATGAACCGGACCTAAGGAGGCACCTCTCCAGCCCTCTATTCCCTGCTTCCTATCCTCTGAATACGTAGACAGTCCTCTCCTCGCTGTTTTTCACAACAAGACGCCCAGGACAGTCTTCTCCTCGCTGTTTTTCACAAGACGCCCAGGACAGTCCTCTCATCGCTGTTTTTCACAAGACGCCCAGGACAGTCTTCTCCTTGCTATTTTTCACAACAAGACGCCAGGACAGTCCTCTCCTCGCTGTTTTTCACAACAAAACGCCCAGCACCTTTTTCACAACAAGAAGCCCAGGACCAGTCCTCTCATGGGCAACATCTTAATACTATCACCCCGCAGTCATCTCTCTTGGGCAACTCACTTTACGGCGACGCAAATTCCAATCATCAACCAGAATGGTGTCCAGCGCTGATCGGCGGCGCGTTTACATAGCGTGCAAGCCCATCTTCACGGGCGACAAGGCGCTCGTGCGAAGGGAGAAGATAATTCGAGCCGTGATCCGCAAGAACAAGCCGTCCCTGGCCAAGCTGCTGTCGGAGCTAGGCGCGGACAGGCTGGTTGCAACGATCAAGGGGCTCCTTGAAGAAAACTTCTTCGTGTCTGAGGTGCCCGCTCGGGCGATTTATCCTGACCTCTTTGACACCCCGTTGTCGCCAATTTCAGAAGTATACTCGCCCAAGCCAAAGTCGGCCAAGGCCAGGCCAAAGTCGGAAGAGGTGGTCGCATCCCATGACGTGAGAGAGCTCAGCAAAGAGCCAGAGCTCTATGAGGAGCTGGACGAGGCAGAGTTGGACGAGGCAGAGCTGGGCGAGGCAGTGCTGGACAAGGCAGAGCTCTACGAGGAGCTGGACAAAGAGCCTGGCGTCTCGCAGTTTCTTTCTGCGGCTGCGCCTTTCCCGGTGCCGACCCCACCAATGCCAGGTAGATATTCCTTTTTTGCACTCACAAAACACCGGATCGTACTAACCAGTCACTCTCTGCAGCCGAAGTGGCAGAAGCAGCCGCAGCAGTAGTAGCCGCAGCAGAAGCAGTAGGAACGACAGCAACAGGAATAGCAGCAGCAGCAGCAGAGGCAGCAACAGCCGCAGGAACGAGAGTAGCCGCAGCAGTAGCAGCAGCAGCAGCAGCAGGAACAGCAACTGCAACAATAGCGTCTGCAACAGCGCCGACGGGATCAACGACACCCGCCGAGCTCAAGGACAAGATGCCCTGGCTATATTCGTCGTTCCTCTTTTACAAGGCGCAACACCTGATCGTCACGGGCGCCCAGCAGCTGCTTGAGGAGTGCTGCTTTGACTTTGCCGCCAAATGGATGCCGTCGGTGCTTGAGCGCCACGGCTAGGACTGCGCGGCAGCTGTAGAGCTGACTGAGTGGACCAAGATACTCGCTAAGACGGACGCTCTATTTCCACTAGAGGCCGTCAAGCTCGGCAACACGACGACGATGCGCGAACTCGTGAAGCCGGCGGTGAAGCTGCGGCACACGGCGGTGCACCGGCTGCCGACCACGGCGTACGACATTGTGCAGCTGCTGGGCGGGGCCGTGGTGCTGGCCGAGGCGCTGCAGGACGGCGAGCGGGTCGCGCAGCTAGAGAAGCTGAAGGCCGACGTCGACCTCAACGTGCTGGCCATAGAGACGGCTAAGGAGGCGCTCGAGGAGCGGGTGGAGAGCGTGCTGCGCAGCATTGCGCAGTGCCGCGACGAGTTCGACCGGGCTGAGGGCGTCCTCGAGGCCGCCTTGCGACACGACGACGCCGGCCTCAAGGTGATCGTCGGCCGGATGCTCAAGCAGTCGGTGCCGGGCATCTTTACGGGCTCGGTACTGAGAATCAGCGGCGGCAGCATCAGCGGCGGCAGCAGTAGCGGCAGAAGTAGTAGCGGCAGCGATGACAGAGACATGGAGCTGGCCGAAGAGGACAGCGATTGCTGAATCCATGTAGGGGTCTGACTCGGGCTGACTCGGAAGGACGGCGTATCGGTGACGCTTACGGGGCCATCTGCAAGTCGGAAACGGTCAGGGGTTTGACCAATCATTGATGGTCTTGTACATGATTGTAATAGTAATGAAATTAGCAACATAGTTGCATGTCTACGTCTTGTTAACCCTCCCGCCCGTGACAAAAGACTCGATGCCGTGCTCCAGACAACCAGTGTGCCAACTGCAGTGCCAACGGGGACAGCAGCCGGCGACCCTTTTGAATTAGGAAATAAAATAATAGGATTGGAGATGCTAACACGGCTATATTGATACTACTATAATCGTGCGGCTGTCTTGGTCCCCTCTTGATCTGGTCTTGCTCAGGCGGGCTATTGGACTTGTCTGCGTGTCCGGGCGTGTTGCCTCGTTGCCTCGAACTTGGCTCTGTTGCCTTGATCTTGCCTCGTTGTCTGCGTGTCCGGGCGTGTTGCCTCGTTGTCTGCCCGGCCCTGCCCTGTCCAGTAGCCAGCCTACGTGCCCGCCTGTTGTTGTCTTGTCATCTGCTCCTAGGAGCCGGCTTCTACGGCCGGGTACATGCCCAACACGTTGTGTCCTTTGGTCAGGCTGTCTCCACTAGGGTTTCGCCACAGTGGTACAGGGATCACTTGGCAGGGATCACTTGGGTATCACTGGCTACAGGCTACTTGGTTACAGGGACCACTGGCTACAGGCCACTTGGCCACAGGGACCACTGGCTACAGGCCACTTAGCTACAAGGATCACTGGCTACTAAGTACTCGGCTCCGGGGATCACGTGCTACAGGCATCACCCCACACTAGCTAGCTTTAAATATGTTGCCTGTCTTTCCACTGCTCCCCATTCGACCTTCATCCCGCACCTCACATCACTCTTCTCGACAACCCTTATCCCGCACTTCACACTACTCCCCATTTGACTTTTATTATGAGAGCGTCTTCTGGCACCGTCAATTTCGTTCCTTGCACCGTAATCCACCATACATAACCCTAACCCTGCCCACCCCTCCCGCCCACCAATACATCCAGGATTCTGCCGGGCAGTAATTTACCACTTTTTACCACAACGTAAGCCGGCCCTTACTTTTCCACTATAACCGACCTTACGCAACCACTAAAAAACATCGTCGGCAGCATATTCAATCGATGCATCGGTATAGCTTCATTTCTTCATTGTTTACTTCGTCGCGTAGTGCTAACTAGCGATAGAAATGCCCGCCCTCGAAGACCTGAGCGATTTTGATCGCGATTTTAGCGATCTAAGCAATCCGGAGGATGCCGTCAATGCCGTCGTTGAAGCTGCGCCGCAACCACTGTCAAACCCGCCTCCTGGGTACAAGCTTTTCACTACGAAGTACGACACTCTCAACGATCTAATCGATGATTTGAATGAATGGGCCGCTTCTGCGTTATTCAGGACTTCAAAGGCACGATGTAACAACCACGTCAAAGACTTTGGTCCAACAAGAGTGGAATTCTGTTGCGACCGGGGCGAAGTCCGGGCGGCCTGGGGCACAACGAACAAGTCCACCACCGATCGCAGAGACTGCCCTTGGCAGAGCATAGCCAAAGCCCTTGTTGCCAACGGCCGTAAATGGACCTTTGAGCTTCGCCCTAAGCATACTATTCATGAGAATCATCCTCCTCTGCACAGGAACCCGGGGTGGTCGGGGCAACACGGCACCGCGGGCTTCAACACGCCCTGCAGCCTCTGCAGTTACTGCAGGGCGTGTTGAAAAGCCCACACGCAGTGGAAGGGTCCCTCGCCCGACTGCCCGGGCATTGGAAAGTATGGATCAGTAATGCAGTCAGCTGCATCGGTTGTGAGTAGTATATACAGGCCTGCAGTTTTTTATTGCATTTTTGGCCCTGTTATGTAAGCGAATACAACGAAGTCAGCTTCGCTTTTTACTGCAGATTTGAACGATTTGAGCGAATCTACGGTCCTGAGCTGGAATTACCACACTCGGAAGTGTGTTGACATTGGCGACGGCGGCGAGGTGCAATTGCGATGCAACTGCGTTGCCAGCGCTTGGAGCGGGGCAGCTAGCGAATGTGGTAATTTTGGCTGTAAAATGTGGTATTTTTATGGGCGGTGAGCTGTAAAGCTTGGCGGCCTATGTACCTACGGTGCAAGGAACGGATTTGACGGTGCCAGAAGACGCTCTCTTTATTATACCGCACTTCACACTACTCCCTATTTCTTTTATTATCCCGAACTTCACACTACCATTCGACCTTTATCATCCCGCACTTCACACTGCTATTCGACCTTCATCCCGCACCTCACATCAGCACCAGAGCACCATTCGATCCGCAATGGCAGACTTTCAGAACTGCCGCTACTGGCAGCCTACGCATGATCGCGTAGGCCCACGTTTCACTGTGCAAAGAGATCTTCTAAAGGTCCGCATCCCGGTCTATTCTAGCGGCGGGGGTTATTACATCTCGCCCGACGGCGGTAATGGCGACAGCGACGATAATGGCGACAGCGACCCTAACGGCCATGACGGCGCCGAGGCCATCACGGCCCTGGCTTCTACCGCTGGACCTGTCGACTTTCTTAGTAAACTTCCTCTCAACATCGTGAGGGAGATCGTCGGCCTCATCGTCCCTGCCGGCTGCACCTTCGAGTTTCTCAAGTGCCGCCAATGGGGCCGCCCAGAGGACCCCAGCAGCCCAGCTTATGGGGAATTCAGCATATCTTCTTCAGTACAACTCACCTGGGTTTATGAGCCCGTCGGAAATATTCATGCTATTGTGCATCGGATGGCGCCGTCCAATGTGGCTCTATCGATAGACCTCGGCCTCGCGTACACCAACCGCGACTTCAACGCTATCGTCCTCAACTACTTGTATAGTCGTAATTCCTTCATATTCCACCTGTCCAACGCCGAGGTTGGAGTTGAGATCAAGTCGAATAACTTTCACGCGTGGCACTCCTACTCACGCAAGTTCGGTTGCCGCCATACCTCAAACCCGCAGTCCTTCGCAGAAGATCCCGCCTTTGGCCCGCTGGGTCAGCTCACTAGCCGGACCGCCAAATATCTCCGGTCTGTCATGCTGGTAGTGTCGACGCCGTGGCGGTCGGTAGAGAAGCAGGGCGTACATCATCTCACGCCAATTGTCGCCAAGGCTATTGACATTCTCCTTGGCTCGGGTAACGTCGGCAACGCAGCTCGGCTCGAGGAGCTAGACGTGTGTTTTATTGCCGAGCCAGTGTTTGGCGGCATGCCCTGGTACCATATCATCAAAGGCCTCCATGTGAATTTCGACGAGAAAAAGGCCAAGATGGTTGCCGAGTTCAAGCCGGAGCCCCTGCTTCACGCGCCGTTCCTCCGCCCTCAAGGCCCACCTTGCCAAACTAAGCTGCTGGCTCCGGCCAAACAGCTCTTCAGACTCTGCCGGGTCGGCCGCGTGTCGGTTTCTGGGGACATAAAGGAGGGCTTCACGACACTGCTCCAGCAAACCATTACTCGCAACGAAAACGGCGAGGCTAGGGAGATCAGGCAATCGCAGAGAACGAAGCGCGGCAGATTGAACTAGGCGAGGTGGACAGGCCCAGGCGACGGGACGGCATAACGAAGCGAAAAAATAACGGCACTTCTTCCAGTACTGCCTTCGATGTACAGAAGATGCTGCTTGCCAAGCTGCCTCACTTCAACGCCGTGATCCCTACCCCTGAAGATGCGGCAGATCAGCGGGCCTTTCCTAGCGTTGGAGCTGAGGGTAGTCATGGAGATATTGACTAGCAGGATAAGGCGATCGTTTATTTGGCATTGAGAATGACTTTCTGGCGTCTTGACCTCACGGGCGAGGAAGAAGACGTCCTCATATCTGGCAGGATAAAGGCGATCGTCTATTCGGCATTGAGAATGAGTTTCTAGCGTCTTGATCTCACGGGCGAGAAAGACATCCTCATTTCTGGCAAGATCATCTTCATGTCTGGCAGGATGAAGGCAATTGTCTATTCGGCATTGAGAATGACTTTCTGGCGTCTTGATCTAAAGGGCGAGGAAGACATCCTCATTTCTGGCAGGATCATCTTCATGTCTGGCGGGATGAAGGGGATCGTCCATTCGGCATTGAGAATGACTTTCTGGCGTCTTGATCTGACGCGCGAGGAAGAAGATATCCTCGTAACTGGCAGGATAAGTGTGCTAGGCCCAGGTCTAGCCCGGGGCACTGGTTGGCCCCTGCAGATCCAGCCTATCCCCCGCACATAGATCCTCCGCCTACGCGTAAATAGCTTAGCTTCCATAGAAAGCAATACACACACATGCATTCCTTACGTGCCCTCGCATAATAAAGCGATCATCTATTCAGCATTGAGAATGACGATTTCTGGCGTCTTGATCTCACGGGCGAGGAAGAAGACATCCTGATGGCTAGCAGGATAAAGCGATCATCTATTCGGCATTGAGAATGACTTTCTGGCGTCTTGACCTCACGAGCGAAGAACACATCTCATATCTGGCAGGATGAAGGTAATCGTCTATTTGGCATTGAGACTGACAATTTATGGCGTCTTGACCTCACGGGCGAAGAAGAAGACATGCTCATGTAGAAAAAAGGGGCTGCAGAACTTCATGGGCTTCTTTTTCTAGACCCTCTTCCCGCAGAACTTTATAGATTTCTTTTTCTAGACCCCCCTTCCCGCAATAATTCTCACAAGTACTACACATAATACAAATTGACGCTTTCTTCTCCGTTACCCTTTTCTACATACTACATATAAAATTGCTGGCGTCGCTTCGTTCGTCAGTCGCGTGACCCTTCGCTACGCTACGGGACGCTTCCTTCCTCTCTCTCGCTCCTGGCAATTTAGAGCGCGACAGTTGACTTATTTAGATAACGTAGAGAGCAAGCGAAACGACAATACCCTGTCCGGAGGCCAACAACTCCGATGCTCTAGAGATCTTTTCTTACATCTATACAACAGAGCTATTAGTTAAATACCCGCTCATATCGCTCGAGTCAACCTCCTCTTCCTGTGGATCTAATAGCTGTAACTTCCTTGCCTCGTAATCCGCTATCTTCAGTTGCATGCTCTGTACCGGCACTTCGCGGTATATCCTGCTCCGATCAAACGGCGACTCAAACATTAAGCCATTTAAGGTCTTGACCCTAGAAACTGCTACGTACGATAGGCCGGACGCGAACTCTGGCGCGGAGATATCATAAACCACCTTGTTGAGAGTGACGCCCTGTGACTTGTGTACTGTGATTGCGTAGCAAATAAGCAGTGGAAACTGCTCCCGGTAGCCAGTATCAGCCCCAAGAACAAAGTCCTGCCGAACCTTAAGGATAGGAACCACCAGCCTAGCCCTATCACGAAGCTCTTCTCCGCTAGGTAGTAGGAACGGCGGCCTAGTATAGTTATCAAGCGTAACCATAATAACCTGCGGTGGGTCTTCTAGCACGTTGGCGCCTTCAGCTCACGAGATGTCGTATACAGTACCCTGGGCACCGTTCACAAGCCCAACGTTGGCCCAGAGGTTCCTCGTTAGCATGACCCGGCAACCAATACAAAGAGGTAATCGTTTGATCAGATTGCCGGCGTTAGAGGACTCGACTCTCTCTGCGCCTACGCCTTCGTGTTTTGCGTCCACCTGTACAACCGCCTTTCGTAGGCCTAGGAGGTGCTGATGGTTGTATTCGTTGACCTGCGCCTTGATAGGGAAGATGCGGAGGGCATTATCAAAAGCCTGGACCTGAGCCGGAGGCAGTTTGATCGCACATCTCGATGTAAGAAGCTCCCATGACGAAACAGATACTTTGGCCTGCTGTAATTCTTTTAAGGCTTGCCGGAAAAGAGCCTGGTCTTCACCTTGTTGCCGTTGGACTGTGGTTAAGAATACTGACTTATTAAACGAAAGGTATGCGTTACGACCAACGATCTCCATATCCCGTAAACCATTTGCTATAGAATATAGCGGCTTATTAAGAACAGGAGGGAGCTGGAAGAAATCGCCAATAAAGATGACACTAAGTCCACCGAAATACTGGTCCCGGCGATTAGGAAATATCTCCCGGAGCCGCTGATCAATCCAGGCTAGAGGTTTCAGTCCCAGCATGCTCTTCTCGTCAATAATAAGGTAGTAGATCGAGTTAAATCGTCGCTGTAAGGAGCTAAGGACTGTTGGGGTCTCTGAGAGCGGGCGGTAATTACCGTCAACTGGAAGCCGGAAGAGGGAGTGGAGGGTCTGGCCACCGATCTGGTTACTGGCCACACCAGTAGGTGCTGCCCTGATGATTGGCGAGGGTTGGCCGCGATTGGCTGCTTTGGCTTGTAGGCGAGAGGAGATCACTGTCACGACCAGGGCAAGGCATTGAGGTGAACTCAGTCCATTGGGTGCTATCGACGAAGATTCTAAACTGAGGAGGGAAAGAAGGAAAAGTCCGACAACGCGTCGCGTGCTCGCGAATAAGTTTGCATCTATCAGTGGGGTAGGTGGGGCCTCGAGGAGGCTTCTGATAGGCCCGTGGGTTCTGGGCGGCTCTGGCTGCTTCAGGGCCAGTTTGGTGGACGGGTCCTCACAATCACCTTAACCATATACGACTTGCCCGTCCCACCGCCACCATCAACTTGGATCCGGAGCGGGGCTGGGTTCTGGCCTTGGTTGGTTGCCTTATAGTGTCCTAGAATAGCATTATACACTAGCCGCTGCTCAGTATTGAGAGTCCCGTATGCCTCGCGTGGTAGTTGCTCAATATCATAATTGCTAGGAGAGTCTCCCCGGAGCTGGATCCAATAGCCCCCGGTATTAAACTCCTCGTGGGAATACAGTCCAATATGGTGGGTCCAGTCGTAGTTTAGGTCGATATCGCGGCGACCTAGTAAATCTGCCTCCTCTTGAGGTAGCTGGAGGTCAGGAACCATACGTGCCATTTCGTGCCAATCTTCAAGAGTAATATCAGGCATGTTACGCCCAGCCTCAAACTGCTCCTCATCAGGCTTAGGGTCCTCATTATCTTCAACCCCATAATGGTCATCTAAGTGATAGTGTTGACTGGCGCAGTGTTGGTAGGCAAGTTCGTAGGTATCAAACCGTAGATTGTTGTCCTCGTAAAGGTCTGTAACTTGACGGTGTGGATGGTTAAGCAGAAGCTTAACACGGCAGAAATCTGGCCACTGTTGGTGCGAGCGAATAGGCTTGTATCTGGGATAGTAATACAAAACCCTCGGCTTTGCAGGAGGTTGCCATACTGCCCATCTCGAAGGGTCGCGCGCCTTGAAGTTCCAGTTCTCTAAGAAGTCAAAGTACGTTAACTCTTCCATATGTACCGGCCGGTTGAGGTACTTATCGTAGGTATTCGAGGATTCCTCGATATCACCGTCAGTAGTAATATCGATAGGCCGGGCGTGCCGCTCTCGGGGTCGGCAATCAACACTTTGTACTACCCGGCTATCATCCTGGAGAGGAAGGCCTAGTAGAATATGGCAGATCTCTTGTGCGGAGTAATCCCTCTCACCCACCAGCTTATTCATTAGCTTGGATACAAACGAAAGCATGGGGTTTTGGTCGGAAACGTGAGGCATTATACCACGGGCAATCTGGGCATATGTATTAGTCTGGGCCTCTGACTTGCTACAGTACTTCGCAGCGTAGTTAATAACAGCCTGGACGCCAGTACAGGGCGAGTAATCCGTATTGGCAAGCCAACAGAGCGAGATCAGCGGGTTATACTGATTCATATAGGTGTCGTTCCTCTCAGCCTCAAATGACTACCACTTCTTGCCTGCCCTCTTAATAACCTCTGCAGCTAGCCGCTCGGGGCGGGGAAAGAAGAACCGGCATGTTGGCTGCGGTGGGGGCTGTTCTGCCTCACCAACTTCACCGGCTTCTACTCTGGCTGCAGATTGCCTAGCTCGCTCAGCATCCTTCTTAGTTAGTCGAAGGCAGTATGTTGTAGAGCAATGGTGGCGTTGGCAGCGGTTAATAATCCGGTTGAGCCATTCCCAAGTAGTATCGGTCTCAAGAGGGTCTAGGGATAGGGGATTGCCCTCATCTGCGCCCTGGTCTCGCTGTGGGTTAAGAGCTGTGATATGGTACCCCCAGATCCTGGTAAAGTTATCCCGTGACTGTTGTGTTGACATATCTGGATCTGGGCTCCCATTAAACCAATAGAGACCATGGGCGTGGCTACTACCACGGCCCTGCCACTCGTAACGGTACCAATAATCGGCCAGGTTAAACTTCTTCTCAAGTACAATCTTCCGAAATAGTTTATTCCGAAAGTGGAAGTGCCAGGCTGCAATATGTGGATTCTCACGTAATAACCGATGTGATTTGGCCATTCGCGCATGCTCGCCCAGTACCTTACAATCATCGTACTCAGGCATATGCTGGTATAGGCTTTGCCAGTGTAAGTCGGCAGGGCTCTGGGTAATAAATGCTGCTGATACACCAAGGCAATAGGCAAATGCCTCACACTCGCGGCGGCGGCGATACCAAAAAGGACGGGTACCCTTAAGAATACCTGCAAAACGCGAAAAGCGATTTAAGATAGCCTGAGCCTCTGGCTGCTCAGGGTCGGCTAGAGCTTGTTGAAGGTCTTCCTTAGTAAGGGGCGTACGGTGGTGTTTGCTAACGTAGAACTTGCTACTATTACGGGCTTGCTGCCGCATTAGTGTGTTCAAAGCAATGAATCGTAAGCTATGGTGTCTGGCAAACCGGCCATCTTCCCACTTCATTGCGTGTTCGATATAATCCTGGTAGGATATATTGCGTTGTCTGGGCTCAACAAAATCTGCAATACCTCGGGGAAATAGAGTAGGGCATGCTAAGGAAAGTAGGGCATATTTCTGGTTGAATTCATCGAGAGACGTACGACGGATAGATGGTATCTGTAACTGGTGTGCGGGCTGTAGGTTAGCTGGCTGTAGGGGGACTTTCTCGGTATCTTTAATCATGATATTATCGATACGGCCTTGGAGTTGGTTGAGCTCGGTTTCTTGGATTAGTAAGTTGGGTACTGCGGCTTCGTCTATAATATCGTTATCTTCCAGCTCTGGCTCCTTAGTTGGCTCATTACCGGGGCCAAAATCAGCAGGCAAACCCATAGTCTTATCAACTTCATGGATGCTTAGCTGGTCGAAGATGTTACCATCCTCAGGGAGCTGGGAGAGGTTATCGTAATTCTAGGTGAAATCTTGGTAACCGGGATGGTTATTGGAGAGAAATCTAAGCCAGGCTTCCACTGCCGCACGGCGGACGCGGAATCGTCGGCGGAACTGCCGATCCATCTGGGCCACGCCCTCAGATCCACGTGGCCGAAGGATAACGATATCCAGATCCTTTGGTAATAATGGGAGTTCGCTATATACCTTACCCACGTCACGTAGGAAGTGTACAACATGCCCACGATACTTGTACTGCTGCCCACAAATCTAAATTGAGTTAGCTATTACCTCTTTTGCTTGTATCCTTATAACGTACTGTAAATACATTGACACTGACGTGTACCCGTGCGACGAACATCTCCTCTAACGGCTTAAGACGGGGTAAATCATCAGGTATACTGCCAAAATCCAGCTTGTTCTCAGCAGAGAAGAAAAAAGGCTCGTCTTGGCGTTTCTTATCATCCTTATCGTGGCAACGTTTGCAGACCCCATCCGCCTTAGGCTCCACGTCAAACCACCGCTCTTTACAGCGTAGGCAGTATTGCATCTCCTCGGCAGCAAGTGCCTTGTCGAATTCCGTCTTAATAGCGAGGTCCTCCTCGTTGAGAGGCGATTCCTAACCGGCCCCTGTAAACCGGGGGGGAAGCTCGTCAAATTCGCGGGGGGGTTGTTGTTCGGAGGAGGGTCGTCGTCTACGGGAACCACGGGGTCGGCCGACAGGGTTTCGTGCAAGGCGCAGTCGTCCTCGGGGACGGCCACGAGTAGGTGAAGATGGTGAGTGTCACGGCCGGCTTGGAATGAGGGCGGAACTCCTCTATTGGGCGCTATAGACGAAGATTCTAAACTAAAGGGAAAAGGGAAAAGAAGCTCAAAAGCCTCCCCTCGCGAGATTCTTCCAGGGCGTCTCAAGGTGGGGCTCTGGCTGGTCGGGTGGACCCACCCAACTGGCGTCTGATTAGTCAGAGCGTCTGGGAGGCCTGGAGGACCAGGCTCTCACAATATTAGGCATCTTCAACAAGGCCGCCAAAGAGAAGCGATTCGCCTAGGGTTAACCCCTCCAGGATGCCTTGTTCATCTAGTATTTCCAAAGACGTAAATTGTTAGGGTAGGCGTCTTCAACGGAGCTGAGAGCATTCTGGACAGGTTTTCGAGGGGTTTATAAAGAGCTGAATAAAGGAAGCGAATTGCTTCTCTAGCGGCCTTGATCTTTAGCGGCCTTGTTATTGAGAACTTGAGAGATGCCTTATAGTGCTCTTGTTCAATTTGGTACTCCCATACACCCAAGTCGTCATGCCTTCCCCGGCTCACACCAGTAGTATTGCCTCTCTTCAGGATGTATTCGTTGCAGATATGTCTCCAGCCCTTCATATCTTTTCTTTATGAGGCAGTCTATTCGTATGGTAGGAAGCGTCTTTTTGTACGGTAGGGTACAAAAAGTGACATGCGCGCTAGGACCCGCCCATTAAAAACCCACTTTTCGCACTAAAAATAACGCTAATTCCTGGGACGATACCAGCGTAAGAAATCTTTGGATCAATTGCAGTCGCATCGCAATTACACCACGCCGCCGTCGCCAACGTCAATATGCTTCCAAATGCAGTAATATATGCTCAGGGCCGTAGATGCGCTCAATCGTTCATTTCTGCAATAAAACCCAAAGGCTTAACCTGTGTTGTTGCTTACATAACATGCCTAAAAATGCAATAAAAACCTGCCCTGCCTACGCATCGTCAAGTTCATCGCTTTGTTGTGCCTCAAATGCTGCAGCCAAAGCCCTCGTAGTGCGACGAGTCGATGCACCGCGTGTTGATGCCTTTGTAATGCCTCCTCGAGACCCGCGCGCCCTGGGGGTTGAAGCCTGTGCTCCAGATGAAGCCGGGGTTCGTAATACCCCTGATGATGCGCGTGGTGTTGATGTTGCCTTTGCACCACGACCGCCCCGGCCGCCCCGGCTGCTCGGGCCTCTCTTCGCCGCACCGAAGCGGGCGCCACCGCGAGGGATAGTGAGGTCATTCACAGTTCGTTGTGCTTGCGCAGGGGCATTTTCGCTGGTGTTTTCCTGAGTCCTGTTATCCCTGTTGTCTTCCTGCTCCAAGCTGACGCCCTCCCATTGTGAGGCATTACGGCGAATGGAAGGCATGACGCCCGAAGCCCTGCCGGTTGACGTCGTCGTCGATGCTACTGTTACCACCGGCGTTAGAGACGCTGTCGCCGCCGGTGATGCCGTTAAGATCGGGACTGTTGATCGGGGTGCCCGGGGGTCAGGAGCAACCGCCGCAGAGCCTCGGGGTCTTCCTCGGAGGCGCTCAACACGGTCAAACTCATGATATTGTAGATACCGGTCTTCGTCAGTAAGAGATCTACCCAACCACTAATATGGGTGGAAATCTAGCTTCGTGAGCCTCAAATCTCCCTCGATCATTCCATGCAGAAGGTTGTGGCTGCAAGGGATGCCGAACTGGGCGGTAAACTGGCCCGTACACTCCGGCAGGGGGCCCGGGTTCGGGTCCTTTTCGGTCGGACAGGCACGGAGTGCAATGCGGAATTGTTTGACGACCTGATCCACGGCCCTCTCAACGATGTTGTACGGAGCCTCACCGAGCCACACTCTGCCTATATATGACCGCTTTATACGAGTCATCGCGGAGTGGCGAGCCTCGCTAATAGACCTCTGCATTTCCTCAAGCATTCTGAACGACTGTTTAATAAGCTGAAGAATGTCACTATTCCCGTTGATAACAAAGCTCTTCAGGTAACGGTTGAGAGCCTCAACTGGGGATGTGGTGCAGTGGCCAAAGTTGAGGCGCTTGTTGGTGTAACACGTTGCCCACTGCTCGCGTAAAGGCATCATGCTCTCGACGTAAGCCAGTATTTCCTCTTGTTGAGGAAAGAATGCCTTGAGCTTCTCATATGCAGCGTTGAAGTCATCAAGAGTCGGGGCATAGAGCATATGCTCCCAAATCTTGTAGACCCCGGCTCGGGAGTACTCGACTTCATCAGGCACGTGACTAACAGGGACTTCGTCGACCGCGATGCGGTTGAGGCGATTCACAACTCCGGCAGCCGCATCGTCATCTCCGGGGCCCTCGGCTTCATTATTATTGTTGTTGTTGTCCCGACTTCCACCCGCTTGGTCGCCCTGAGCCAGCTGTGCCGCGGCATGTGCGGCGGCGACCTCTGCTACAGCCTTTTTATCCCACTTCTTGTGGATGTGCAACACCATATTCTTATTGATGTGAACGATGCAGAGTTGAGGGTCTGCGTCAGGGTAAACACGTACAATTGAAGCCCTCATCGCCACGTCAAAGTCGGAAATTGTGATAGTTGGTTTGTTGGCCTTGATCCTTTTACGATTCTCATTGACCTTATCCATCAGCCAGTCAAAGCCTTCCTGCCGTTCGTTGTTCATCAGCCCGAACGCACAGCTGAAGCACTGGCCAAGGTTGTTGACGCTGACAACTTGGAAGAATGCCAGTCCTTTGTTGTTGGTTTTGTACGTATTGTCGTACATCTGCACCCAAGGATGAAGCTTCCACTGCTCCTCGCACCACTCAGTAGTCCAAAAAAGACCCTCTGGCTTCTTGTCGTTCCCGGCGGACCAAAGCACATCATACTTGATCTTTTTATCGTCAAGTAACTTCATCGTGGCCTGGAACGGTGTGTGCCCGTCAAGGGTCTCTTGTCGCTGCGTATATCGAAGGTTTCGAAGTTGCCTACGGTTGAAGACGAAGCCGGGGAACTTGGTGCGCAAATCCCTAGCGATCTCCCGATTCGAGATCGCGGGCCTGTCGGAATAGGTCGCCACAAAAGCCTTGTGCTTAGGGAGGAATTTACCGACCAAATTGGCACGGGACTCGGCGGGCGGGTGGTTATGTGTGCTGTTGACGATGTGTAGGGTCCATTTACGCTTGTCTTTCGCGAGCGCCTTAGCCACAAGCTTGAGAAGACAGTCGCACTTTATAGTCCTCTGTTGACTCTTTTGTGTGGTTGCCTCGCTAAGTCGAATCTTGCCTCTCTGGCAGGAAATCTCAACGCAGGAATGCCCGAAGTCCTTGATCTTGTTCGACGCACGAAGCTTTCGTACGCAAAAGAGCGCTGAAGCGGACCATTCTTCCAAGTCATCCATCAAGTCAACGAGAAAGTCGTATTTGTGGGTAAAAAGCTTGTGGTCTGGCGGAGGCATTGAGAGAGGCACCGGTGCGGGCGCGGGGTGCGCATCATCATTTTCGCCGGGCGAAGGCGCGCGCGCGGCCATTTCTATCGCTTGTTAGTCTTGTAGATGCAAAATGAAGCTGCGCACCTACTTACGCGGCCATAAAATCGCGTTATTGTTGGTATAGCTCAATTGACGGTATTGTGGTGTTGTGGTGTTGTGGTTGTTGAAGGTGGAAGGTTTTGGTGGAATTGGCGGATGCTCTTAATTGTAGGTAAAATTTGGCCTGAGTGGCCCGGGCGCAGGGTGCCGGGCGCAGGTGGTGGATTTGGCGATGGCTTCAACTGTAGGTAAAAAAGTGGCCCGGGCGTAGGGTGCCGGGCGCAGGGTGCCGGGCAAGCCATCCGAAGAAGCGTTCAATCTATTTAACTAGTCTTTTTAAGGTGTAAAAATCCGACTTTTGGCTGGGCTAGTGGCTTGGCGGCTTGGCGCGCATGTCACTTTTTGTACCCTACTGTACAAAAAGACGCTTCCTACCGTACGAATAGACTGCCTCTTCTTTATTATCCGCATTATACCTTATTAGCTCCTTCTCTAGCTGCCTTTATATTTGAGCTTCTAGATAAGGGGTTAATTAGTTTATCAAGGGGTTTGTGGACGGTTTTGTCAAGGGGTCTGTAGAAGGGTATGTTGAGGGGCGTATTGAGGGGTTTGTCGGGGGGTTTGTGGAGAGGTTTGTCGGGTTGTCGAGAGCATTCTAGAGAGGTTATTAGTTGGAAAAAAAAGTGAATCGCTTCTCTCTAGCAGCCTTGATCTTTAGGATCCTTGTTATTGAGAATTTGAGAGAAGCCCTTATTGTCAAGTTGCTCTTGTGATGGCCCTGTCAGGTTTTCAACTGATGAAAAAGCATGGCACCCCCGTTTGAGTGCCGTTTTCCAAGCTTCCAAGTTCTCGTCGCCCTTGACTAGACCGTCATGGTGAGGGCTTCGTGGTGGTGTTGTGGGCGTCGAGAGTCCGTGTGCTTCGTCATGGTGTTGTGGGTGTTGGAGTGCGTGTAGACGAGAGTACGTGGGCTTTCGTATGCTGCTAAGCGTTGTGGGCGAGAGTGCGTGAGTGTGTGCCGCTAGGCGTTGTGGGCGAAAATTCGGCAATTTTGCGCTGCCTGGGCATGTGGGCCTGTAGAAATGGTAATTTCCAGGGCTCTAAGGTGCGCCGTCGATCAGGAGAACCAATGTAGAAGCCGAGGGACTCAAGCTTTTGGCGGAAAAGAACTCAACCGTTTGGTGGAAGCCGTAACTTGTTAGCAAAAACAAGTGTCTACATGGGGGCTCGCGCTTACCTTGGCCCTCGGGGAATGTAGAAGCCAAAGGTCCGCAGGTGCCAGCAATGAACAGCTTTACTTTTCTCAGCAAGTACTTTTCAGCCAAAAACTTATTCTTAGCAATTTTACTCTAAAGATTTGAAAAGTACTATTTCCCAAAACTTCTTAGCAAACACTTTACTTAGTAAGTATCCAGAAGGGGGCTCGCGCTGCCCTTGGCGGAGGCAGAAAGGAAAAAGTACAGCTGAGAGGGGCTGGCAACAAATAACTTTTCTCAGCAAGTACTTTTCAGCGAATAATTTTGTACTTGAAAACCTGTGTTCAACAAACAACTTATACCACTTGGTAAGTACTACGTAGCAAAGGACATTTTTTCGTAAACCTCATATAGCACAACTATGTGATACTCAGCAAAAACCTATGAATTAGGTAATAAAGATTTGAAAAATACTGCTCTTCTCAGTAAGTACCTCTCAGGAGTAAAAAACCCGTATCTATAGGGGCCTTCGCGCTTACCGTAGCGGAGATCCACTTAGAAGCGAAAGGTCTACTATTAATGGCGGTGCGGCAGCGAACAACTTTACTCTTCTCGAGTTAGCAAAAAACTAGTGTACTACTCAGCAAACTTGTGAATTAGGTAGTTAAAGCGCGGAGGAAGATTTGAAAAGTCCAAAGCTAAGATCAGGTGCTAGCAAACAACTTTACTCAGCAAACTTGTATTAGTAGGGGAGCTGCGCTTGCCTTGGCCCTCAAAATCGTAGAAGCCAAAGGTTCACAGCCAAGAGCGGTGCAGCAGCGAACAACTTTACTTGGTAAAAACTTGTATGCTTAGCGAAAACGTATCTTACTCAGCAAACAACGTATAATAAGCAGTCGAGGCGCGGAGATTGAAAAGCCCACAACCAAGATCGGTTACCACCAGCGAATAACATGACTCGGTAAACTCGTATCTACAGAGCAGTCTTCGCTCTTGCCTCGGCGGAGATCGCTGATATAGAAGCCAAAGGTCCACAGACAACCGGCAGCAAATAACTTTACTCTTCTCAGCAAGTGTCTATAGGGGGATCACGCTTGCCTTGGCGGAGAGCTGACGTATTAAAAGTCCACAGCCTGAGCGGGTGCGGCAGCAAACAACTTCACGTCTACAAGATAGGGCAGAGAGGCTCGAGCTTGCGACGGCCTACAAACCGCTCCTAGTATTCTTTCTTTGTGGTGGTCTTGTCCTTGTGAAGTAATATAGAAGCATGGCACCCTTATTCGAATGCTGATTTTCCAGCGATGTGAGGAATGAGGCCGCCTTACGACGGCTACAAACCACTCCTAGTATTCTTTCGTCGTCGTGGCCCTGTCCCCTCGAAGTGATGTAGAAGCATGGCACCCCCATTCGGTTGCCGATTTTCTAGGCTTCCAAGTTGTCTCCTCAATGTATTGGAGAAGCATAGAAACCCTAGAGCCATTCAAATACCGATTTTCCAGCGATGTGAGGAGGAATGAGGCCGCCTTGCGACGGCCTATAGCTGCCTTTGTATTCGAGCTTGTAGACGAGGAGTTTGTCGGTTTGTCGAGGGGTTTGCCGAGGGGTTTGTCGAGGGTTTGTCGGTTTGTCGGTTTGTCGGTTTGTTGAGAGTTGAACAAGGAAGCGAATTGCTTCTCTCGCGGCCTTATTCTTTAGCGGCCTTGTTATTGAGAATTTGAGAGAAGCCTTACAGTACTCTTGTTCAATCTGAAACTCTCATATGCCCAAGTCGTCAGGTTAGGCGTCTTCAACAAGGCCGCCAAAGAGAAGCGATTCGCCTAGAGTTAACCCCTCAAGGATGCCTTGTTGATCTGGTATTCCTAAAAACGGAAATCGTTAGATTAGGCGTTCAACGGAGCGAGGGCATTCTGGGCCTGGTCTCCAAGAGCGAGGGCATTCTGGGCCAGTTGTCTCTAAGAGCGAGGGCATTCTGGGAGAGGGCATTCTGGGCCTAGTCCCTAAGAGCGAGGGCATTCTGGGCTAGTCGTCTCTGAGAAGGGCGTTGATCAGTCTTTCGGGAACTACAGTCGGGATGAGCATAGCCTGAGCTCTATGAAGATGTGACTAAAGTTCCCGTGCAGGTATAGACCGAGAGTTTTCGTGTAAGATGAGTTGAGACGAGGCACCACGAGATCTATCGTCGAGAGATTCTCATTCTGCCAAGCGTGTCAGCCATGCCGTACGGTAGCCGGCCAGCGAGCTAGACGTTCCGACACGGCTGTCTTCGCTTTGGTCGGAGATGCTGGGTTGTGTAAGGGTTACGTCCGTCAGGCCTAGGACGCCGAAAGCTAGGTGGGGCGTGAAGTGACCAGAAATATACCAACTTGAAGTCAAACAACCATAAGAGCGACTGGTACTATGCTCTCTTAACCAAATCCAATCTAACACCATCCATAAGTTGCAAACCCGACCATCTGATACGTCTTAAAGCTTATCTTGTCATCATACAATAATTATTCGGAGTTTGACTACACTAACAACATTCAGTTTGAGTGGGCTGGGCACCTTGTCACCCGATCGTCCAGGACCTACCAAGCATCGAGCTCGGCAAATGGGAAGACGTTGACTAACAAAGACTCATTGCGTCACTCATACTCACGCCTTACCTGCTGCACCCACAGCAGAACGCATCTCAAACACTGCTCAAGAATCGTGTTATGAATGTTCCTTGTGATTGAGGTAGCAGATTGCTGACTGAAGACTCGAGCACAAAGGCAAGAAACATAGGGAATGGGAAAATAATCGCCCCAATAGAGCCATGGCCCGCCCTCACGACGAGGGCCAATTGTATACAAGGGACAGTGACCACCCTCTTCCCTGCTCTGAACTCCCTAGCCGCTCTATCTCACTCATTCCGCTTGGCAGCTCTGAGGCTGTGGTATCTAGCCTCAACAACATTCAGCACAGCATTCGCAACAATCTGCACAGCACTCGCAGCCCTCCTCGCGGACAAAGCAACAGCACAAGGCTGCTAAGCAGCCCTGAAGACATCCCCGACTACCACTCATTCGGGGGGCAGGTTGCTGCTGGTACTGCATTTAACCCTGTGGTGGGTAATAGCCCTGCGGCTGCGGTGCAGGATACGGCTATTAAACCACAACTATGGTTAGCACAAATCTTTACCAAGACTACGATCGTGGCGACTCACGGCCTGAGGATACTGAGGGTAGCCCTGAGGATACTGAGGGTAGCCCTGATGGACTGGCGGGCCTTGCTGATAGTATTGCTGAGCAGACATTATTGCTTGGGCTCTAGGGACTTGAATGTTTTTTTTTTCCAAATTCTGTATCGTCGGGAGAAGAAAGGAAGAAGTTTGAATTTAGGAAGCTGATATTCGCCACAGAAGCTGGGCTGCCAGGGTGAGGTCGAGCGCCAAAAATCTCGACGGTGGTGTAGAGGAGTGAATTTGGATGGGGGTGGGGAGAGGCTTGGACGCGGGAGGGGAAAGCCCCAAGTGACGTAGCCTATAATGTCTACCCGCTACCCACCCGCCACGCTACACGTACCGCTGACCGCACGCCGCCCGCCACACCAACCGCACGCATCTCTAGACCGCCCTCCAGTCTCCCAGTGTGCCACTGGCCAGCAACGGGGCGTCCTACGACGTGCCGCCAGTGCTGTCTGCCCAGCTGTCTGCCCGCTGTCTGCCCGCCCGCTGTTACGATCCTGGTTCAAAGGTGCAGAGGGCGTTGCCCGCCCGCTGCGGATTGGCTGGAACGGCACTTAGGGTGGGGCTCTCGCTAAGAGAAGGTGCATCCAATTAGGGAGTGCTCAGTGGGGCCATTGCCAAGGTGCACTGAGCATGGCTGAGCTCAGTAGGATCAGTGCCGAGACCCACTGAGCGCACTGAGCAGGGAGCTCAGTGGGGATCAGTGCGTCTAGGACTGAGCACGACTGAGCATGTAAGGCAGTAACTCTGATTGGTTGCTCATAGTTCTATATAGGAGCTGGCAGCACGCTCTCTCTGGAGAACGGTTCTGCAGCTATCAATGCATCTGGTTAAGCATACATTGGTTGTGTGTTGAAAGCTTGTCTTTCGCAATCTGTGAACGATACTCCTTGTCTCCTGTCATCTCCTACCTGCCGTCCAGACCCCCACAATCCTAGGCCGGGCCTAGCTCCGTGGACCTGTTGTCCAGATTGTAACACCCGCTGTCTGCCCAGATACGAAATCAGCCGCCGTAACAACCGCGCCCAGCCACCAGACACTCGGCGCCACCCTAGACTGCATCCCTAGACCCCTAGTCACCACCATCGCGGCGCTTGCGGTGCTACTGGCGGGCAACTGGGCGTCTCGCGTACCGCTAGCTACTGTCTGTCTGTCTGCCCGCTGTCTGGCCGCCCGCTGTCTGGCCGCCCGCTGTCTGCCTGGACACGACGTCAGCCGCCGCCCGCCACCCCAGACTGCCCTCTACTTCCTAGACACTCTTTCCATCTCTCACCATGACGGTCTAGTCCCCTCTGCTCTATTCTGTAGAAGTAAAGTTGTTCCCTGCCGCACCCGCTCCAGCTGACTTTTGCCACGTTTCTGGGCAAGGCAAGCGCGAGCCCCTGTAGACACTTACTAAAGTATTCGCCGGCACCCGATCTTGGCTGTGGACTTTTCAAATCATTAGAGTAAAACTGCCTAATTCACAAGTTCGCCAAGTAGTACACAAGTTTGCCAAGTAGTAATAAGTTTTAGCTACGTATAAGTTTGCCAAAGTTATTTACTATTAGCACCCGCTATGGACTTTTTACCTTTCCGGCTGTGGACTTTGCCGTGCCACGTTTCTGGGGGCTAAGGCAAGCGAGCCCTCTTGTTCTATATCTCCATGTTCATATCTGGGAGGTGGGATGAGGTTTTCCTAATTTAATCACTAAACTCCTCATCCTCGGTTTGTCTGCATCGATACGGCGGCCTATAGCCAGCCGCGCCTCGTCCATCAGAGTCATGATAACGCGGAGCAGCTCGGCGGAACGGTTACGGGCCTCCTGGGTTGTGTGGCGGCATCATGGCAACCGGCTCACGAAGGAAGTGGTTCGCCGCGTCAGAGCCGTCCAGTAACCATTTGAGACAGATCTGGACGCCTTCCCGAGCATAGCGGTCAGGGTCGTCGTAGACACAGCAGTTGAGCAAGGTAACGAGCCCCTGATGGCGGAGGATTTGCGCCTGGACTGTCGGGTCTCCAGGGCTGCTCTGTCCGGGTGGCGGCTGGAGGAGTCCGGCGAGGGTGTGCAGGATCTTGCCCTTGACGTCCGACCGTGGATGCTGTGAATCTCCATCGTCACGTCTTTGGTCGTCGATGGGAGTCTCAGAGGGGCTGGGGTCGGGGGTCTGCTCATTGGTCGAGTGGTTGGTCAGGTCGACAGGCGGTTTCTTTGCCACACCTGCCTCGAGGCCCCTTAACAAGACCAGAAGCTCATAGGCAGCTTCCCACTCGATGAGATATTCGCGCGTCTCGACAACCTCGTTCGCTATGGTTAAGAGCTCTAGGAACTGCTCAAGACCATCTTTGGCATACTTCATGTCAGCGGAGACGGGAAAGTCAGCAGGATCGCGCTTTGCTCTGAGAATCTGCTCCTGGAGGCGCATCAGGGCAGCGTATTCTGGCACGATGCGGCTCCGGAACTGGACGAACAAGAAATGAAGGAGCTTGACGTCGCGTAGATGCTCCTCTGAGTCTGGGGAGGGCGGGTTCGCGTTCCTAGCCCGGAACGTGTTGTTGACCAACCTCAAAAGCAGCGTCTGCGCTGGCGAGATGATGTCTTTGGGAATCTGCAAGCACTGCCACGCGTAGGGAATTAGGGCACTGTGATGGATGGCCTCGACGATTTGTGTTGTGAGTTGGAAAATACGCGATTGTTTGTTCTCCTCCCAGACGGCAATGAAGACTAGCATCTCCCGGAGAAGGTTCCTCCCGCACTTGAAAGCCAGAAACATTCTGCACCGCGTCTCTTGCAGCTTCTCTCCGGCTCTGGTGAGCGCGAGCCCTGCATTGTCGAGGATGCACGATTTGACCATCATGTGGAGTGCCTCGATCTGCTCAGGGTCGAGAATACTCGGCACCTCTGTCAGGAGGCCGGCCGCTGCGTACGAGTCGTCATGGTCGACGTCTTCTTCCTCGATTGTGTCATCATCGTAGTCCTGGGAATAGGCACGGCCGTCTTCGTGCTCTTCCTCAGCAGCGACATCGGGAGGCACCGGGGCCTCGGTAGAGTGCACCGAGCCTTCACGCTCGTCTGTGCGGTAGCGGTTGACGAGATCGGCCTTGCGATTCTCGGTCCTGTGCTTTGCAAACTCGACCAGGGGCATGGGAACAGCCCAACCGTCGTGATTCGGGTCCCGGACCTTCAGCCACCACGTATCGACCTCCTTCGACACGCGGCCATAGGCGCGGTCCTGCTCGAACTTGTCGGGCTCGTCTTCTTTCCAGTGCGGGATCATCTCGGCGTCGTCTTCTGCATCGCCGGCCCGTGTTCGAATCGTCCCCTCGGGCAGCCAGTTCCAGAATAGCGGGGATACGGCCGACAAGTTGCCGGGTGGGTGGCCCCTCGACGCTATGGTCTCCTCGTATTGGATAAGAAGCTGGCGGGCCTTGTCGCACACCCTCGAGTTCCGCTCGATCCAGTTCTGGACCTCCATCTTGGCGACCACTGGGCAAAAGTCTCCAGCCCCGGCATTGGCCTCCTCCTCCTCACCTGCAGTCTCGTCGTCGAAGAGCACAGTTGACCAGAAGGACGTCATAGTTCTGTCATTTTTAGCAATCCAGGTGTACGCCTGCTGTAGGCATAAAACAAGAAACTTCTTGTCTAGGGGGTGCGCGTTAGCATTCGAGTGGGTATATGCCTGCGCGAGGGAGAGTCTTACACAGTTCGGTAATTACGCCCACCCTGAGGCGAACACCGTCCTCAAGGATGTCGCCATCGTAGGCCTTGCTGGTGACGTTAACACAGACAATGATGGTCTGGTAAAGCACCCGGTCGAACTGGGCTGCCGCACATAGATCCTGGGCAACCTCGGCCTCGGTCACGACTAGCAGCTTTCTAGCAATATGCATAAGCTTGATGAGCAGCTAGAGATCCCCTTTGAGAGACGTGTAGTTCTTGGTGATGAGCGCAGTGCTCTCCTGGGAGGTTGCGTCATTCAAGGTAGCCAACGGGCCGATGGAACGCGTAGTCAGGCTTGGAATGGCAGCAGCGAAGTCCTTGGTCAGCCAGATCCAGATTTCCACGCTGCTTGACAAAGTCTCCCTAGACAGACACTTGGCATTAGAATCTCGGTTGGCTTCGGTTGGCACCAGACCAGGCTAGACCAACCTGACGTCTCTGAGATTGTGCGTCGTCTCGAGCGTTCGGGAAATGAACTTTGCGACCATGGCCATGGTTTGAGGTCCGATGGCTGGGTCCCGCTTCAGCCGCCCTTCATAGCAGCTCATGGCCGTTGTGAAGCACAGCTCCTCGATAGAGATGGGACGACGGCCTTGGGTAACTTCGGCCGCCATTGTCGTCGCCGCCGCCGCCGCGGCACTACCCTGGCCCGGTGGCATTGGGGCGCTCGACATGTCTGCTTGGCTTCCTCTTTTTTTCTGCCTGTCTATTCCCCCATCGAGGGTACAGCACGTTAGCTGCTGGCCTGTCTGATAGTCGGCCTGCGCTGGGTGACACAGATGTCTGCGCTGGGTGGCACAGATGCACTGCACTGTCCTACCTAAGGTGGATCCCGTCGAGACGGCTTTTGGCTTGTGAGCGTCCCAAAGAGAACTAACTACCTCAGGTAAGGTATTAGGGGAATGTCAGGAAGGAACAGGAATTAAAAATGATGGTCGCCGGCTGGTAATTTTCTCGGCGAGCAATTGACTAGAAAATCAATACTATGCTCTCTCGGTTAGTATGGCGGCGGCTTGGGTAGTGGTTGCAACTTGTAAGCTTTGCCTGTATTGAGAAGTTGAAAGACGAATTTGTTCCATGACACAGGCAGGCTAGCTTAGCGAATAACCTTGGGTAGCAGCCTGATGGTTAGGGTTAAAAAGCCCACTGCCCAGCCACGGTTTGGGGCGAACGGGGCCTGTAGCTGTGGGTCTGCCAAGCTACGAGAAGAGTCAAGTTGTTCGCCGCACCCCCGGCTGTGGTATTACAAACCACTCGACTGTCAGGGTCGTCTGTCTGTAAGGGAGCACGGGCTCCACAGAATGCTGGGTTGGTAATTATGAAGATAGAACAAAGGGCAAGCTCCTATCGCACGGGTAATACAGTCAAATCGGAATGCCACTCAAAGTGTATGAGTGCAGTGAATGTGTATTGCTTGCTTGAAGAACCAAGCAAGAACTATCTAGGACCGTGGCTACGGTCGTCGTATATATCTATCTAAGGCGGACCAATCAGAGCGTTGGTCCTAGGTGATCAGTGCGGTCAGTGAGCTCAGTGCGATCAGTTCCCACTGATCGCCCTGATCATACTGATCGCGCTGACCGCCACGCTATTGGCTGCACTCCCGTGAAGCGGGGAACTACCCCGCTTCCTTGCGCCAGCCAATAGCAGGAGGCTCCGTGCAGCCTCCTGCGAGCCTGAACCAGGATCGTAACACTTAGCCCGTGTTGCCTGTGTTGCCTCAACGACCTCGAATTCACTGAGCTCCCGTTTCGTACTTGACGCTGGAAGCTTACTAGTTGTAGCTTTTGGCTCTATACGATGGGGCTCTAAAAGCTGAAGTGGAGCCCCATTACGTATTAAGCGCCAGTGTGGATGGAAGTCTTCAAGAAGAAGAGGCTCTTGACGTCCAGTTAGTGCATGGACACATAGAAGCCCGTAGATACAGGTAAAAGTACCTGTGCAAGTAGGTTGAGGAGGGTCTTTCCACTGTAGTTGCCGCTGCTTCTCAACCTTCCGTAGTCCTTCGTATGAGACCCAGCCCTGTACAGCCTTATATAGAGCTTAATCGAGCTCAAGGGGTATACGGATCTGTTGCTTGGCTTGATTAAACCGTAGTTCAGAGAGTTGGTTGATCAATGCAAGCCGAATTGCCTTCCATGCTTCAAAAAGGTCAAATGTTGACCTCTGAAGGTACGACTTAAGAAGCGCATGGATCCCTTCAACACGAGAGGTAGCTGTATTTCCAAAATGAGCTTGTTGGTCGACCCATGCCGAGACAAGCTTCTCTTTGAACGGTAGGAGCCATGTCTCCTTAATATAGCCAACCTGTACAAGGTTTGTCAAGCCATACTTGTTTTCGAACTCTTTTAAACGCTCCTCGTAGATCTCTTTAGTTGGCGAATTAAGGATAGAGAACCAAAAAGCGTAGAACTCTTTCCAATCCTCAGCTTCTGGAAATGCTGGTTGGCACCGCGCAAGAACTGCCTTATTTGCATGCCAGATACAGAGAGATATTGTTGATGGAAAGAGAGTTGAGGCTGCGTTAATAACTACCAGGCACCGGTCTGTCAAAATGACTGATGGGAAAACTCCACCACACTGCTCATATAAGGTCTTCAACCGCCCAAGAGCCCATATGTAGTCTTCTTCAGCCTCACCGCTCAAAAATGCAAAGGCAATACAAAAGGACCGTCCAGTTGCATCAACACCAACCATATCGAGAAGTGGCATGCCGTATTTGTTTGTTTTGTATGTACAGTCGAGAAGGAGGACTTCAGGATACGCTTGAAGATAGACAAGAGAGTCGGGATGCGCGAAAAGAACTGCCGTTACATGCCTATCTGGCCCATATTGTACACGGCTCCAGAAGCCTTCTTGCTCAAGCTGATTTGCGAGTGCGTGGATTGGACTTGTCACGACCAGGGCAAGGCATTGAGGTGAACTCAGTCTATTGGGTGCTATCGACGAAGATTCTAAACTGAGGAGAGAAAGAAAGAAAAGTCCAACAACGCGTCGCGTGCTCGCGAATAAGTTTTCATCTATCAGTGGGGTAGGTGGGGCCTCGAGGAGGCTTCTGATAGGCCCGGGGGTTCTGGGCGGCTCTGGCTGCTTGAGGGCCAGTTTGGTGGACGGGTCCTCACAGGTATAAGAGGAGGGTAGCCAAGCTATTAACGGATTTGAAGATGGCGCCGCCATGGGTCGAGCTCCCCTTCGAGGCTATCTTGATAGACAGGTACTGTCACGGTTAATAGGTTTTGAAGGACTGTTGCCAACAATATACCGTTTTGATTTAGTGTAAAACTAAGCTAAAGAGGAAAAAAGGAAAAAGAAGAAGAATCGCGAATTGTGCGATCAGTAGAAAAGGTTGTGGGCGGGGTAGCTCGCAACCACGTGACCAATGCGCTAGACCTAACTGGGCTTATCGGGAAGTGACGTCACACGGCAATGCGATAAGGAACCCGAAATGCGCTGTGCCGTGACAGGCACGATATAATGGTTAGCGTTGAGGAAAGAAGAGGGTATTGTTATATTTACGTTATAGAAGAGCTGCCGCTTCTGCTAGCCATCTCTACCGTTACTACGAGCGTCAAGGAGAGTTTACTGAACATTACGAGTCGCCATAAGGGAAATATAAACGTATAGTCTTCCTATCTAATGATTCGAGAGCCTCGTATTCCTTAATACCTCTCCTCAAACGTGGCTTAATAGACGACGGCCATAATAAGCAAATCGTTACTCGGGAGTAGGTAGATTGCTAGTTCTTATAGGGGCCCGATAAGGAGGGCCTCAGTATATCCTACGAATTTAGCGCCAACGGCTCGTAGTGCCCTTTGTATAACTTAATTTAGAGTATTACACCACGGCCCAACTATGGTCCGTGGTGCCGTGACTATGCGCTAAGTTGCAAGCCTCACTTGCAACTCTCTTCTCGATTGCGACCAGCGTACACGTGACCACGCGACCCCACGCTACCGCTACCAAAAAACCGTAGCCTGCAGGCCTGCAGGCTTCTTCCTTTTCTTTTTCTTTTCTTAACTTGGGTACTTTACAAATCCATGTAAGAGAAGGCAGGTACGCCGGATCAAGGTAGCCACAATGCAAGTAAGAAGGTGAGCGAGCAATGAGTAGTATTGGTGTGAGACTTCAACCTGGCCCTTGCAAAGGAAGGTGGGCGAGGGCCACTGTTTATATACGTGCTCAGTGTGAGGGCCTGGTCCTCCAGGCCTCCCAGACGCTCTGACTAATCAGACGCCAGTTGGGTGAATCCACCCGACCAGCCAGAGCCCCACCTTGAGACGCCCTGGAAGAATCTCGCGACGGGAGGCTTTTGAGCTTCTTTTCCCTTTTCCCTTTAGTTTAGAATCTTCGTCTATAGCGCCCAATAGAGGAGTTCCGCCCTCATTCCAAGCCGGCCGTGACACTCAGGAGCTCAGGCCCGGGGCGCCATAGCGTGGCGTAGTGGCTTGTGCCAAGTGGCAGTGTTCTGGCTAGTTGGTAACAGGTGGCGAGCGCGCACCCTGTGCGCGCAGCTGGTGTTTGGGGTGTTCTTTCCTTACAATCCAGCCCTTATTTACTTATAGCTTTGCCTTGTGAGGACCCGTGCACCAAACTGGCCCTCAAGCAGCCAGAGCCGCCCAGAACCCCCGGGCCTATCAGAAGCCTCCTCGAGGCCCCACCTACCCCACTGATAGATGAAAACTTATTCGCGAGCACGCGACGCGTTGTTGGACTTTTCCTTCTTTCCCTCCTCAGTTTAGAATCTTCGTCGATAGCACCCAATGGACTGAGTTCACCTCAATGCCTTGCCCTGGTCGTGACAGTGCCCCGCTTAGAGTGCTGTACTTGGTCTTCGGTCCGGCGGTCGCACACCTCGCGTGGCGATCGCGCACTTTTGGTTCTATTCTGTGGTGGCATATTCTTTTCGATTGCCTTCCCAGGTGAATAGAGAGATTGAGCTTTAGATTGTCACCGCACAGTCAACTGTTATGAGGCAAGGCTGCAATGTAGTCGCTGTATTCGTAGAATCTAAAACTAAAGAAGGAAAAAATGTCCGACATGGGGGCGGCTCGACCCAACGAGCGGCATGATGGCAATTAGCAAGGGAGTCTGGGCAGATTCCCCCGCAACGGCCGAATCTGCAGAGCTAGCTGGAATCGTCTAGAGAAACTGCCAAATGCTCCCGTGACTTGCGCCTCAGGAATAGAAAGGCGGTATAATGCGGCTCTTAGTTAGCCGCGCGAATTATCCCTAGCCTTCTCTCTCTTGCCCCTATGCGTACGTGAAAAGGGAACCGGCTTCAATATCACGCAAAACAAACAAGAGGAAAAAAGATAGATGTAACAATACCATCCATCGACCAAGACAGAGAGAGAGGGATAAAAAAACCGCAAAGATAATTCGGGAAATAAGACATTGAAGGAAACTCGACCTAATCTAGCCTAGCCCCCCCCCTCCGCCGAGAGTATTACCCATGATAAAGAAAGAAAAAGGAGAAGATAGATAAATATGTTTCTCTTGCCTTTTGCTTGAATACCTCAATTCAGTCCAGCCTCTTTGCCTAATTATCTCTGTATTCGTTGGACACACGAGGCCGGACAAAGTGAATGAGGCGATACAAGCTCGAGGCGCCTCCTTCAACAGATGAGGATGTCGATATAGCTATGTGTAGTGAGCTTTCGTAAGTCGAATATCATCTCATCGTTTCAGCTATACCTCGTCCGACTTTCATGTACCGTGGTCTCCGTATCCCTACTACTGAGCTACAGACTCGTCGCGAGGCCTAGCAGATTGCTGTTGCATCGCCGCAACTTGTTCCGTGAGGGAGGCGATGAGCTGTTTGTGCACGCTGATTTTGTCTACCAACGCAGCTTTACTGGTGACTATTGACTCCAGCTGCCGGACTCTTTCTTCTAGTTGCTGGAAATATATCCAGATGTCATCATCGGCGGTCGAAAAGAGATTGCCGCCGTTCTCAGCAGCACCGACACCGTTACTGCCCTGGGCTGTGGCTCCGCTCGAGGTACGACCGCGGCCACGGCCAGGCGTTTGCTGCTGCTGCTTCTGCTGCTTCCCGACAGTCGACGCAGCGACTGCGTTGCCTTTAGGTGGGGTTCGGTCAGCAGGGGGGTATTGGGAGAGCCAGGCCTGCCTGGCGGCTGGTGACATACCATGCGTGGGTAGAGACAGAGCATGGCGGGCGAGCGCAGCAGCATCGCGGCTGGCGTAGCTTACTGGTGCTCCGGAGGAGCTCAGAGGCTTGGGGCTCTCTGTCATGCCGCTCTGCGAAAACATGGACGAGCTGCCCGCACTCAGGGGCATTGAAGAGATGCTATTGTTGGGTGTGTAGCTATTTGGCAGGCTTGGGGATGTCGTCGTGCTCGCCGACCCGCGATCGACGTTTCGTAGAAACCAACCGCCCGTAGGTCGTTGCCCGGCGGGAGGATACGTATTTGAATGATTGTTATAGCCGTCGGGGCCTTGTCCTGAGACGTGTTGGGCTTTGATACTCGGCATACTTGAACGTCGCTTCTCTTCCTCAGTCATGTCGCCACAGGCGCCTCCGTCGTAAAGAACGCCTGACATGGCAGAGTCGTCGGCGCCCGCGCTACCGGGGCCGTCATAGTCGTCGTCACTATCAAAGCTGCCCATGCTCGGTCTCCTGCCGGCACACCCGCCCGCGCTCTTGCTATGCCTAACCAGAGCGTCGCTACGGGCAAATTTCCGGTCGCATTTAGGACAAATATGCAGTTTCTCACCCGTGTGCATCTTATTATGGCGCTTGAGGTCGTGGAGGCGGCGGAATCGCAGCTGACAAGCTTGGCATCTATAGGGCTTCTCGTCGCTGTGCATGAGCAGGTGGCTCTTGAGATTGAAATAGCGCGTAAACTCGGTGTCACAGTGCGGGCACTTATGTTTCTTAGATGAAGGCGACCGAGGTGTGAGGTCTGGGTTCTGCGAGCTCGACATGGGCAGGCTTATTCTGCGCGGGGGGGTGTCTGGCGCCTGCATTGATGAGCCGGGCGGCAGGATACCGGGGTATGATAAAGAAGACACGGCTTTGTCTTCCATCTGTGCTTCGGGCTGCGGCGCGTACATCTGTGCTTCATGCTGCGGCACGTACATGTGCCCGTCGTCGCGGGCATCGAGGTCCATGGGGCCAGGGCTGTGCACCACCTGGCCACCGCTCTCGGCGAGACTTGCGCCGCTCGTGCCACTCTCGGGACTGGCTTCTTGTGTATCAGTAGTAGTAGAGGCAGCAGTGTTATCTTGTGGAATGGTAACGGCGCTGAGGGCTCTAGCGGCGGTAATGGTAGCAACCTCAATAGAGGAAGAAATGTGGGAGGCAGGCGCTGCCGCGGGGGCGGGGGTGTCTTCGGGACGGCTCATGGCGGCAACGCTAGACATCAGCTCGGACAGTGCGTGCTGGGATGAGTTGTCGCTAACACCCGGAGGGCCTGCTCGTTGTTCTTCCTCGCGCCAGCGCCTGATGTCCTCGAGAGCGGCTGCGCCGGTCAAGGGTGCCAGCATGTGCGACTGGCGGGTGAAGTCGGCGAGGCGGGTGAACTTTAAAGGCGACAGATCGCCGCCAGCGGCAGCGTCGTCGTCCAGAGCTAAAGGAGACTCTTCGCGCGACCTTTTCTTGTGCGCCATGAGTTTCTGTGTCTGTGAGGCCGTCTCGGAGGCCGTGTGGGAAGGCTGCGAGGGCAGCGCAAGTCCGCCGGGCGTCGCGCGCGGAGGAGCTCCCCAATCCATAGCCCCGTCACCAGTGAGCATTTGCTGCTCTCTTATAACCGTCTATTACGTGCACCCGATCACGTTACCGTCGGTCGCGACGTATCGCCAGCGGGCGGGATGGAGATGCTATTAATGTTAGGAGGCGTCAAAAGCGTATGGCTGGAGATCGTGGCGAGAGCTTGGAGACTTACCAGGCAGGCAGGCTAGCCAGGCGGGCGGGCGGATAGGTAAATATGCCAACGCAGAGGCCGCGGGGCGCAGAAAAAAAAACAGTGGAAACCAGCTTCTGAAAAAAAGCAAAGCGCCCTACGCAATTTTATTGCAGTTCATCCGGGAACGCGGCTTGCTGTCTTTCTGACGAGAATAAGTTTTTCGTCCAATTGCTGACCCTGTATTCATGCGTGCAGGAGGGTGAGCTGCTCTCACGGCTGGAAATCTGGTGTGGCCTCGAAGAGAGAGAAAGAGGCTCACGAAGGCAAAAGTGTGGAAGTCGGGGACTCTCACGGCTGGAAATCTGGTGTGGCGCCGAAGTGAGAGAAAGAGGCTCACGCAGGCAAGGGTAAGGAAGACGGGAGGCTGTTACCGGGGGGAGGATCCTTGCTACTGCTAGTGGCTAGTGGCGGGCGCGCTGTTCAAGAGGGAAATGGGCTGTGCGTGAGCTGGCTCGCAGCTGCCAGATCGCCGACGACGGTTGAACAAAGCCCGACAGCCAGTAAAAAGCGGCGGTGACTTTTGGCCTCTCACGGGTCTAAGCTCTAGTCCCCACTGTCCTCCAGCCTCTCTTGTCCTTCATCCGCCCCTCTCCAGCACCCAAGCAGCGAAAGACCCAAGCTACTCGGCCTATGAAAGGCTGACTTTGGTCTCACCCACGCACACTCCATCATCAACCACCCTCGAGATCCCGCCGCAATTTAACCCTCGGTTCAAGTTGTGACGCGATTGATTCAGACAGCAATGCTTGGAAATAAAACAAGCCCGTGTGCGTATCAAACCGCCATCTAATCCGATTTCATCACAGCTATGTCGCTGGACTTCGCCTTTTACAGGATGAGCTGAACGTGGGTTGGGTGCTTTTTTGTTCTGAATTTAGAGGAGAGCTCTCTGTTCGGGTTAGCCTCGTTTGCTTGCTCGGACTTGACGGCTTAGTGATTCGCACGGGCTAGGTTGCGGGATTGGTATAGGCGTGCTTGTAGGCATGCAAACAAGTAGGGTGTTGTAGGAAAGGGGGCATTTTCCTCGGCGTTTGGGGACTCTGGGTGGGTTTCCTGAAAGAGAAATCTCATATTTGCATCTGGCAGCATACCCATCGAAGGAGCATTTGGTGAGTCCTTCACTTTCTGTCTTGTTTACTTGTGAGTTGGTCTTTTGTCGTTGTCATCATGGTCATGGTCATGGTCATCATCACCGGTCGTCATCATTACCAGTCGTTATCATTACCGGTTGTCATCATTACCCGTCGTCACCATCCCCCCTTTACCTCAAGCACGCGGCTGTCGAGTGAATAGACGCATAGCATTCCTTTCCCTATCCTACGCAGTTGTCATATCTTCCGCCGCATACATTCCTATGCGCTAATCAACTCCGTGCCGCTAGGTATCAAAACAAAACAAGCAAGCAAGCAAAGAAAGGGGGGTAATCCGTGTACAACAACGGACTTGGTCCTTGAGAGGGACCCAGGCATGGACGTGCCATCGATAACTCCTATCGCGCCTGAATAATGCCGTACAGTTGGGTCAAGCTCAATCTCTGGAGCCACGAAGTCATGGTCAGGTTGGACTACAAAGGCTGTATGTAACCCAACAAAATGAGGCAGGTATTCTTTAACAGTTCTCGAGACCGTACTCTGGCCGACCCTGAAGAAGTGAGCGGTATTCCTTTGGGTCTCATCCAAGGCCACGATGCATAAGAACGGCATAACCTTCAGTTCAACGATATAATACCGCGTATTCGAGACTAGGCAGACCGAGGCCGGCCTGCAGGCGTTCCGCGCTGCCCAGATGAAGACGTCCGTGGTTGCTCTCGTCAGTGAAGTCCCGTGCCAATGGGTTGGCGTTTTTGCTGACACTGTTAGTGTCAGAACACTGTGGGTTGGCGTTCTTTGCTGACACGGTGGGGCGGCCTCTTTGCTGAACTGGTCCTGATACTGTAGGTGTGGGTTGGAGTTTTTGCTGCCACTGTTAGTGTCAGAACACTATTGGTTGGCGTTCCTTGCTGACACTGTGGGTTGGCGTTCTTTGCTGACACGATGGGCTGGCGTTCTTTGCCCACTGCCTCTTTGCTGATACTGGTGGGGTGGGTTGGCGATACTGGTGGGGGTGGGTTGGCGTTCTGACACCACGGACACTGGTGGGCTGGCGTTCTTGCTGACACTGGGTTGGCGTTCTTTGCTGAAACGTGGAGCCGTGTCGTCGCGACCCATGTCCCCGCGGCTATGATGCACCAGATGAAGGCAGTGACGAGAAGAAATCACGTATAGTGGATGGGAGCCAATGTGGATTGCTGTCCGTGACGGCTGCGGGATATCAGCAAGGCACAACGAGAAAAGAGACGCACCTGTTTAGCGAGATGGCTGATTCAAGACCGAACCAGATTGCTCTCGTTTCAAAGGACACGTCAGCAAAGCAGTGCAACGAGAAAGAAAGCACCTACAGTTGATGGCTAAGACGAGCCAATATCGATTGCTGTTGTTAAGGGCCTGATCTTGTCGCGAAAAATGAACTAGTTTTCGCCGTTTTTCGCAATAAGTGACTTTGCAACCCCTGTTGCAAGCGCTTACGCCAAGATGTACTGCATGGGGCCCTGTTTAGTCCAACTAGCCGTAAATAGAGTAGATTGCCAAGCCCAAGGAGACTCACCGCCTTCGTTGTTCAACGCTGGATGGTGTGTTCGTTGTCGTGGCCATTCTCTCCTATCTAGCTAGTCCAGCTGCCAGAATGAATAAAGTCGCCATGGGAAGCTTGTCGGTTAGAAGGTCATTCTATTTGGGAGCAAATGTCTACACAAAACAAATCACCAGCTAGCTTCACGACGTCCTCGCGCGCTCACTCGCATTCTTGTTACTTTTTACAGGCGTGGAACAGGGCGCTGTCACCAATTTTGGCCATTTTTTGCGAAAAGAGGCACCCGAAAAGCGAGATTTGAGTAACGTATTTGATAAGCGAGTTAGCCATGATAAGCAAGTTGGCCACCTTAACGAGACCGGGTAGCGTGCGCAGCCAAATGCGATAAGAAATTGATAAGATCACTAACAATTTACTAACATCTTTTTGCTTGTGCCCCACCAAATCTCGTTAAGGTGGCCAACTCGCTTATCATGGCTAACTCGCATATCATGAACTTTATTTGCCAAAACTGAAAAAAACGGCAGTATTCGGTCATCACGGCCCAGTTTTCTGGCTTATTGCAGTTAACCACGGCTTGCATTAGCTCTGTACATTGGCTTCATGGGGGGTTCAGGGGTGGCGGGCGGCTTCTCATTTTTTAGGCAAAAAGTGCTGCCAAATACGGGAAAGCGTCCCGGAAAACACTGTCTTGGCATGGCTGGGGTGCTCGCTTTTGGCGAAAAGCCATAAGAAATGGCCATTTTTCGCGAGAAGATCAAGGCCTAACGGCTGCGGTTTAGAGGCATGTCAGCAAGGCCAGATAGCAAGACAAGGCCGTGACGGCTGCGGTTTGGCTGATCCCAGACAATATCGATTACTGTGTCGCGTCAAGACAAGGCCTCAACGGCGGTTTGGCGAGATGGCTTGCGAGTTAATGCCGATTGCTGTGTCGTGTCAACAAGGCCTGACGGCAGTACACACAGAGAAGCACCTGCGTTTGGCGGGATAGCTGATCAAGATAATGTCAATTGCTGTATCGTTGGAGAAGGCCGTGACGACTGCAGTTAATGGCTGAGACGAGCCGATGTAGATTGCTAGGTTGTGTCAAAGGAGAAGGCCGTAGCGGCTGCGGGATGTCAGCAAGGCAGTATAAGGAGAAAAGAGACGTACCTGTAGTTGATGGCTAATTAAGACGAGCCAATGCTGTATCGTTGAAGAGAAGGCCGTGACAGCTGCGGGATGTCAGCAAGGCAGGGCAACGAGAAAGAAAGCACTTACAGTTAATGGCTGAGACGAGCCAATGTAGATTGCTATATCGTATCGAAGAAGGGGGGCGTCTCCGCATACTGTTAAATCGTCCCCATCTACTGTAGTCTTCCACACATAACGCTAACCCTGTAAAATTGGTACATCTAAGATTCTGCCACCACGTAATTTACCAGTTTTTACCATAACCCAACCTAATTACGCTGCAACCTTAGTATCCCACTACAACCTTCCTATGCAACCAAACCACCACCAAAATCATTACCAACAACTTCAATCGATGCATCAGTAAGGCTTCATTTCTTGCACTCTTTTTCATTGCGCCCATGCTAATTTAGCTTCAGAAATGCCCGATCTTGAAGACTTTAGCGATTTCGGCGATCTAGCGATTCCAGCGATGCGCCCGGTGATGAAGATGAGGATGCGCCCGCCTAGAATTCACCTGCGCCGCCCGCGCCACCACCACTTTTCAATCCGCCCGCGAACCATGAGCTTTTCACTTTCAAATATGATACCCTCGACGATCTAATCGTTGATTTGAACGAATGGGCCTCTTCTGCACGGTTCGGTGCATGCAAGCTGCGACCTTCCAACTATGCCAAAGACTTCGGCCCAACAAGCCCAGGAATAAGTCCAGGGCGACGAAAAACATCACCACCACCAACCACCGGGACTGCCCCTAGCAGGGCGTAGCCAAAGCGTTCATCTCCAATAACCGGAAATGGACCTTAGAGCTTCTTCCTGAGCATACCAACCATGCAAATCATCCGCCTGAGAGAGACTTCAAAAAGTTGAAGCACAGAGTCATCTTTGGCTCTAAGCACAAGGCATTTGTTGCTGTGTATATCGACCGGCCAGCTATCTCTAATAGGGAGATTTCCAAGACTTGACAAGA